TTCTTTATAGCCAACATCAATGTTCGAACAAACGCTTACAATAAAAAATGTTTAAAATCTTTTCCCCATAAACCTTTGTCTTTTATAAATGACGTTGCGTAACACGACCGGTCTGCCACAGACATACACACAGCCAATATAAAATAGGTAACAGTAACTCATTTAAGCTAAAAAGTATTTACCTAGTTATAACACTCATAGAAGTATTATTAAATAACTAGCTTTAAAAATCTGGGATAAAAACTATTTTATGTCCTTTCTTAAGGTCAACTCCATCTCCGAACCAAATTTCATTAAAATCAGTTGAGTGGTTTAGGCGTAAAAGCGTAACAGACAAACAGACAGAGTTACTTTCACAATTATATTATTAGTAGGTATTACTTCATATTATTAAGGATCGATAAAGTGTCGTTTTTATATTAATTAAATTCATTTAATAATTATGCAAAAGAAAATGCCTTTGAAATGTTACTTGTTTTTTTTTTTTCCATGAATATAAAATCAGATTTACACTAAAATCAAATGCAGAACGACGTCGTTTAATGTTTATTAGAAGACAACTTAATTGCAACAAAAGATTTTTCTCATCACATTTATTATGTTGTTCATCTTAAGATTCGTCAGTCTTGTTGTCCGTGTGTATTGAACTCAGAGCGCCATACAGTGACTTACTCTAAAAATATTTATATTTCATCCAGATCCGTCCCGGACATAACTAACATCAAACATTTTATAGACAACTTTTTGAATTATATTATCATTTGTCATTTTTATTCTCCATATAGGTAATCGTTATGAAAGATCTTTGTGTCACAGATTCTATGAGAAACTAGCGTAACGTTTATTTTGACTAATTATATTATTGTTGAAAATTACTCTTTTTAAAGTGACAATCCGCCTTAAGCAAGTTTTGTGGTTAATGCTCTAATATTCTCCATGTGAGAAGAGGCTATGCAATGGGCTCCGATAAACGGATGATGATGATGAAAAAGACATACATATCTTCGCAGAAAAATCAAATCTTAGCATACAATTACATTGAAGCAAGATTATGAAGGAATAGATAGATACGCTTCGTATGATGATAAAAACTTTATACATATAAGACCCCTAGACCATTTATAATGGTAATTAAAACACAATTATCACAAATAAATTTAATTACTTAAATAAGTTATCTAATTTATTCATCGAGATTTTATATATTATATTAACTTTTATGATTCCGTTGAATAATTTCTTGTTTTTGCCCAAAAACCTTAATCTTATTTCTAACATTTATTAGAGGAATTAATAGCAATAAAAACGTTTTAATAATTTTTATAAGTCATAAAAGTTAACACATTTTTTTACGAAGCAACACTAAGCTTTTTTGTCGATTATTGGTGGTACTTACCTCATATATATATAATATATATAACATATATATTATACTTGTATTATGTATAAGAGTAACATAATTCAGGCTTTATATTTTATATCCAAATCTGACTATTCTTGACCTAAAATGTTCATTGTTACAAAAGATGGGAAGCCTTAAATTAGAGGAGAATAAGTAGAGACATTTACGAAGGTTTCAAAATTAAATTCAATAAAAGACTATATTTGGTGAACAATGAGTGAGGGACCAGACAAGAGTCTATATTTAAGAAATATATGCAGAGAAAAATTTCTATTAATTATTAACAATTCATTTTTTTCTTTCGCTTCCCAAATAAAATTAAAACTTCCAAGAATTGATAGTTAAACTTACTTTATAAATGGCATTAATTAAAATGCGCCATTACGAAGGGATTCTCTACTCGGAAATACAAAGGCCAATTTGGAAATTAAAACAACGTTGTAATTTGTGGAAGAACTTAAAATGTACCAAATTGCACGTGCATAAGATGACAATGACTAATTTTCTTTAATCATGTAATTATTTCAACAACAATTAGTGACGTGAACGCTGTGTGTGGCGAACGTGTTTTATTTAAGAGGCTCTATTACAAATGATAATGTTCAAACATTGTAAATCTATTGCCGGTTTTGTTTTGGACACACTGATTTGAATAATGCTCACGCTGCCATGGATTCGCATTAATAGAAACTGTCGTACTCCAGATAATTACGTTTTAATATATGCAACAAATATCAAGAGAAGTATGACGTGGGAATTTATCTTAGGTCGGTAATTTTGTTAATTAGATTCTGTACGCTAGAAGTCTGTATTTTTAGTGAAAGCATAGTAATTTCTTGGTATAGCCAATCCCTGCGACATTTTACGTTGTTCTTAATTAATTTATATGTTAGGCTAGCCTTATCTGAAGATATGGGGTTAATTTATTCATATTAGTCTGGCTTATTCTCGGCCCTCTAATAAAGCAGTTTTAGAAATTATATCCGAATAATTTGGTTGATATATTCCAGTAAAAATTGATGATAAATCCTTTAGGATTCGCCTGCTTCACGTCGATACGAAATTTATATAAAATTTGACATACGAAATAATTTGTCACTTTCCTGGAAACACGAAGCGATCGTTAACTGGAAAATAATTGAAGAGGCAGCACGGTAACGTCACCGTTTAAGTGTTTAAAAACCTTCGTGAAGTTATTTTATTTGAGAAAAAAATACATAGCGGAACTCTAAAACAGCTGAGCCCTTGCTGTTTTTTACCCTTTCAATTCTTTCTTCTGACATCCAATTACAACACGGATCGTGCTTGAACGTCGCTATAATTCACTCGCATCATTTGTACTGGACTCCCAATATCTTCTATATCGCCTTATTAAATACAATTCAAAGAAATAAACTCCATAACAACCAATGGAAACCACGAAATATTATTTTATAAACATTTTCATTATTAAAATTTTTGGTTTTCAATATAGGAGACGCTTTTAATAAGGCATAATCTGATTTTCTACCAAATATAAGATGTACAATAAACGTGATGTCGAATGTCGGGTGGTCGGAATCGTCCAAATAGGCGTCGCATTCGTTTAAACAACTTTTGTTCTTTTAAATCAGTAAATTACACTATGTTACAATACCCGTAATAAACAAATTAGGTTTTTTTTAAATACAAACCTTATTACATCGGAATAAAGGCTGTATTTATAATATCAGAATATTTCTTAATACGCTATGTGACATGTTTGATTGATGATGACTGCGCGATTGTTTCATAAAATTTTTATAAACGAAATTCAACTTTATTACTTCGAAGTTTCAGTTTGTCATAAAAATTACCTCGCCATGGGATGCTTCTACTTTTTTTTTATTTTACGGTCGCTTGATTTCGATAGAGATAAAATATCTTTTGAATTCACTGGGGATGTAATAAATTGTACCGTATTTAGTCCCACTGTAAGCTACTATAAACCGTAAAATCATTAAATTAAAAATCAAAATGTCGTGAATTAAAATCATTTAATCGTTGTTAAAGTTTATTACATGTACGGCTGTGTTTTACTAGACCAAACATTACTAAATAAATTATTATTTATATATGACATTGAAATTAACATATATGTGTATTTTTTTACATTTTTATGGATCCGAAACACGTGTAGGTGCAGTGAAGAAATAAGAAACATTTTTCTATTATGAAATGATAATATCTCGTTATAAAGAAAAAGCAGTTAATAAACTTGAATAACATACAATATTTCCATCTTATAGTTAAGATTCTTTGTAATTTTAGAGGCTTAAGATTCAAATAAGAACCTGATTTCCTCACATATTTTTTATTTTTCAGACTTTATATAAATATTTTTTTTTAATTATATACTATGAGTTATGAGTTATGAGGGAAAGTAATTTTTTGACGGGTAAACTTAATAGTTCCCTATCCCAAAAAAAGGCTAAATAAGGATTACATGCACCTGGCACTGTTTTTCTTCTTTTATTAATTCACACTTTTGTACTCCTGGAAGTTCTATAAACTTCGACGTTTATATTATGACAATATTATATTCTATAATAATCAATATCCTTACTAATTGAAATTTGCTGTCTTTCAATATTAATTATTATTCATTAAAACTTTATACTTGATTAAAATAAAAATTTGTTGATTTGAAATATTGCCTTTCGTTTACTTGAAGTACCTAATTTTTATAGTTATACAAATTTAACAAAGATAAAACTAACATTATATTTTTAGGGAATTTTTTACTAAATTAGACTTGATTTAATTTCATTTTTAATCTGTAAAGATATAATGTATTATCCCCAAGATTAAAGGTCGTCTGTTGCTTAGATAGAAATTAAGACATTTAGAAACTCTTATATGAAAAAAGTTCTTTTATCATGACTCTTTTAACTTGTTTTGTAACGTGTATTAACTTTTGAAGTTTACACGTTTCAAAATTATAATGAAATATTGAGATAAAAACTCCGTCCCTAAACCTAAAGCCTATAAAAAACTTATTATTCAAGTACCAACATTTTAAAAACAAAAGTAATTAAAAGAAATTTTGTCTTGTAAATAGAATCTCGATAGAAAAGTATTAGTAGGTAAATATGCTTTATATGTCCTTGAGAAGACTTATAAAACTCCAAGTAAATGAAGGAATATACTTTATGTAAATGTCGTTACTACATTTCGTCATTTCTCGGTGCTAAAGAGAGAGACGAAACTTCTCAACATTCCATGTATTTACCGTGCGGGTGCCGGGTCCATCGTTGCCGGGAGAGGAGCTTCAACAGTGCCTGGGACTTGCACCCCAGGTGTAGGTTTAATTTTTAAAGACCTATCTAATGCGCGTTAAATGCTTACCTTCACAGTTCGAGCTCTCTAACTAACTTTTAAAAGAAAAAATCATTGTCTGACGTTCTCAATTCTATTAAACTTTTTTTTTCAATCTCATAAGTTTTCCCCGTTTTATGTTAACACGAAGAAATTTAACCAATTATTTTTATTTATTAGCCTTAGACATCAGTGTGAAGTTATCTGCGCATATTATTTACTAAAAAAAAGTTATCTAGCAATGAATCTATGCTTACATTATTTATCTTGTTTCTCTCTCGATGCTGTGGCTACTTACATCTCTATTTAGCAGAATATATAAAAGTTATTAGTTATTAGGTTTCACATAAAAACAAAATAAACAGCTACATATTTGTACATTTATTTTCAGTCTTAACCTAAAATAGTACTACAATAATATATTTTACAACGGGAACCATCTCTGCGCTCCATCTAATCTTATAACTTCACCATTCAACATAGGATTTTCTATAACGCTGGTCACTAAATGAGCAAACTCTTCCGGCTTGCCCAATCTTGAAGGGAATGGCGTCATACGTTTGATGAATTCTAACATTTTCTCCGGCAAATATGATACCAAAGGGGTTTCGAATATGCCTGAAAATATAAATATATTTTAAATAATTCATCAACATTTCATTAAACAATATTCATATTGGACTAGAGTAATCAAAATTCATAAAAAATATATGAAAAAAATAGATTATTATTAATTTAGGTGTATAATTTTAATAGCATAATATCGAAAGGAGTAAAAGTATATTAAATTCATTATATATGTATTCTGTAAAGTAAAAAGCCTGAATGGCAGGACCTAATATAATAAAGTGATCTACAATATACTTGACATCATATTATTTAACAATACCTTCCAAGTATAACAAATACGCAACATATTACTAACCTGGTGCAATAGTAACAACTCGTATTCCCTGTGATGCGAGATCTCTAGCCAATGGTAATGTCATTCCTATTACGGCCGCCATCGATGCTGCATACCCAGCCTGGCCAATATCCCCTTCATAAGCTATTGTAGCCGCTGTATTAACTATAACACCTCTTTGACCATCCTCAGTTGGTTTGTTCTTACCCATTAATCCGACGGCCAATCTTATTGTGTTAAATGTACCAAGTGTGTTTACCTATGGGTAAGATAGTATGGTGAATCAGAATATTATTTCTTTAAGAGATGTCAATTTTGAAGGAATTTTGAGTACTTAATTTTTTCTGTAATCCTTTCTTTATTATACTTGATTATGATTAAACAACCTTAACAAACTTTTTAAGTATTACTAGAATCAAGAAATATGTCTGAAATATAGCAATATTACATATTTGCATTTCCAATAATAGAAATATATATTTATATCAATATTTGTATGATAGTGTTTTATTTTTAATAAATTGAACTTAGCAGTGGCTAGTTAATATAGGAGAAAGTCACTTATTCACTATAGAATAATGGGATTCATACATTAATACATTTCTGGAAGTACTCCAATCCACCCGGTAGGTCTTTGTTAAAGTTGTAAACTTGATTGGTTTGTGCAAAACCAGCACAGTTCACTAACGTATCAAGTCTGCCGAATTTTGATTTTGCTATTTTAAGAGCATTATTTACATCCTCTTCTGAAGTCACCTGAAATGTATTTTTATGAACATTATATAAATTACCATATAATCTATAAATATTCAAACGTTTCTAAAGGCAATAATTGAGAAAATTATAAAAAAAGCATCAGAAATAAATTTTCGAACAATGATTTACTTACACAACCGACGGAAACTTGTACATCTTCACCGAAATCTTTTGCCACTTCTTGTGCCCTTGTACCTTGGATATCAAGAATTACAACTCTGCCTCCATTCTTAACTAGACGTTCTACAGTCGCTTTGCCTAATCCTGACGCTCCACCGGTAACCAAACTAACCATGCCCTAAAGTTAGGTTATAGTTTTGTTTACATTCTTAAATACACAAATTTTAGAAGTTATTTGAATATAAACACTTACCTTCAGCATGTTTTATAGATTTAGAAAATATGTGTTCTCTTTATATAATTGTTTATTCTGACAGAATTCTCTACTTTTATATAGTAAAATATTTTTCAAAATCGCTTGAGAGTTAAGTATAAAGTAAAATTTGACTTTGACAGTCAAATTATCAAGATTCGTTACTCAGACTAACATCTACCAAAGCTTACCTAAAAAATCTAGTTAAAAAATAATTAATATTTATAAATAACTGTTTCATAAATATAAAAAAAAAATATCATTTATTTTTATTTTAACGAATATTTCGTGTATTTATCATCTTTGTGTCTAAGTATCCGATAACACTCAAACAAAAGTTTACAAAAAACAACAATGCAAATGGTGGCAGCTTAGGGTTTTTCTTTTTCTTTTTATGACATAAAAGTAGTAAAGTTGAAGTGCTCTTTATAAGAAAATGAATATTCGTGAAGCCATAGTTCTAAAAAGCTATATATCCGGCATTTCCATTTAACAAACTACATTTATGTATGTCGAAACTTTAGCTACTAGTCCTTTTTTGTCTTAAAGGTGTTGATACAATTTTTAAACAACATTTTTACATAAAACAACTTTGAAACAAACAAGCCATGGCTAAAGTAGAACCTCCACTTTTCATACTTCCTAAAAAGCGTAATGGAAAGAAACCAAACCCTGTAGCAGGCCATGTTGATCACATTATTACCGTTCAGGTTTGTAAGACAATATTATTTACTTTAACAATATAATGAAGATTATTTAGCTAGCTATTTTGGCTAAACTTATAAAGATACTATATTTTTCTAAGTCAATTCTATTTATGCACGTAGTCTTTTCTAATTAACAAATATCCTTTATTGCACTATCAACAAATATCAATAGTAATCCAAAGTTATTTTTAATTCAGGGAGCGGCAGAAAACGAATTGCCGACAAAATACAAAAATGGTTTATCTCCGGTTACTGAACACGTAGTAAATGGCATCATACATTCCACTATGGAGGGACTCAAATCAAACATGAAGATTAACTTGCCAATAATTAATGATGTAAACGACGAATTTACAAACGACTCTGCCCCTCAAAATGATCAAAAGACACTAAGAAATGGCTATCAACCGCTATCCACTATTCATGGCAGTCGTGAAATTATTGATCTATCACCAATATATGAAAATTCCTCAGATGCTTGCTCAAGTCATGGCGACTTGAAGGAAATGAATGAGAATGAATTACAACGCAGTTGTAAAGTTCTAAACAGTGAAAATTATGAAAGTTCATGTCCGACACCTAATAGCCTATCACAAACACAATCAGAAAACAGTTTTGAAATGGGCCCACTTACCGACAGCCTTAAAAACAGTGCTAAAAGGCGTAAGAGAGTTAATATTGTCGCCGGTATAGTTGAAACCGATAATACTGACACAGAAATTACAGCTCTGAGAGTGGAATCCGAAGGTTCGATATCACCGGAATGTTCTTTGTCGGAAAACAAAGATGGTTATTTGACTATGACTGGCACAATTAAGAGAGGAAAGAAAAAGGGGCAGAATGTGGATGTAAAACTTAATATATCACGAGAGGAGCTGGAAATTATTGAAGCTGCGATTGTGGCTGATGAGTATAACAAAATGGATGTATCTAAATGCTCCTTATACAACGGGCCCCATATCTTCATATTCACTCTCATCTGTATACCATTTGTAGCCATAATATCTGCCACATACTCCTTCTATATAGGTACTATGGCTTGGTACAACATTTTTACTCATGTCACCGAAGATTTAAGCTGTATCAAGAAAGTGTTTTTAGCACCGCTCGTGATATTGTCTTATCCATTTTTGATAGTAATTTTTACAGTCATCCTCGGATTGTATGCTGGTATCGCACAACTAACATTCAGCGGAACAAACTGGTGGAAGGATGTATCCGATTTTGAGAAGGGATTTTACGGTTGGCTTTGTAATAGTCTAGGTATGTCTGAATGTAGTCCTTACGAAGTTGTCGTTCTAATGGATGTCAAGCAGTAGGCAAATCAACATATAATTAAGTTGTGATTTTTATATTATACATTTTAAAATACTTCCAGCTACAAATAATACTGCCATATTTAAATTATTAGAGGCTTAGTTATAATTTATTAAGCAATTTTTCTAGTCAAACATAATTTAAGCTGAACATTCCACTCTACATCACATCAAGTTTTCTAATTAGTGAAACGAAAACGGGAGCAACGATGTCACTTTTATAAAAATATTAATGGACATTTTGGAATTATATATTTAAGAAAGACTGGTATAAAAGTAGGGATAAAGAACTAGTCATGTAATTTTTACTTGAAATGGACAGTTTAAAAGAAATAAATTGTCAAAGCCTACATTTTTATATTATCTGCATGTATGAAAAAGATTTAATCATAGAAGTTTTTATTACGCAATCAAATAATTTAGTGATCTCATTTTAATATTTCATAGTTTATAGGGAATTTTATATGGAAATGAATGTACTCATATCAAACTATATATTGGAAATAAAATATAATTATATTTACTAAGGATGCACTATAGAACAGCATAGCTACATTAACGGAACGTAAATCATAATTGTATATCTAATAAAAACCGCAACATGTTCTGCTTAGCATAACTTATTGATTTGATGCTTAGCAAGTTTGTATCAAATATGTACTTTATTGAAATAAATTACACAATCATTACTCATAGTATAAAGACTGATGTATTCTAGTCACTATTGTGTCCATTTTCTATGTAATAAAACATTTTACAAAACAATTTGTTTTACTAAATCATAATCTACAATTAACATATAATTCAATCATGAAGTGTCTTTTTGTTGACTTTGTTCTGATTTCGGTTCCTTATGCTTCACTTCTCTGTCTATTCTTTCCTTCGCACGGACTATTTTCGATTGTAAATAAAAGGAACCACCTTTAGTTTTGTCATTAACGTTAAATAAGTGTTCATAGTTGTTCTTGATTTTTTCTGGGTCGAGTTTTTCAATATTGAGTATCTGCATGGCCTCTTCTAGTGTAAGACCTGTTGAAGCGTTTGCAGCTGCTCTCCTTGCACCTTCCTGCCCTCCGCCAGCCCTTTTGGCTGCTTCTTGCGACGCAGCTAGTTCCTGCTTGAGAGCTCTAGCAAAAGCTCGCCCCACAACCTGAGCTCCCAGAACTATGATCTGTGCTATGTACTTTGCCATTCCTAATTAAAGAAATGATATAATTTTGAATTATCTTCTCTCATTACGTTACGAGTAATCTCAAAATTTTATAGGTTATTGTATTTAATGTCAGACGTCAAAATAGTAATTTGCATAATACCACAGTAAAAAAATATTAAAGTGTTGAATATTCAGATTTTAGCATATTAAAATAAAAATAATGAACTGTGCTTTATTTTAATTTTAGTACATATTTTTTCCTAAAAATGTTATAAAGATTCTACTTTTTAGTTATATCTCATGATTTAATAAAATGGAAAACTCCAAAATTCCAAGAAACATTACGGTAATGTCATTATTAAATATCTGAAAATACATATAGTTTTATGTTATTTCCCAAGGCAAAAATTTAGTTCAAATATTTTTCGTTAATTTTCTATTGCATGATGAATATAAAATTATCATCGTATAAACTTTTAGTGATAATGACATACGTATATATTATTTGAAAAAATAAAATGTTTATTAGTGTTGATATAATCGAGTTGATGACAGAAAAAAATTAAAAATCGAGATTTATTCGACTTCTCCAAATTCATTCATATATAATACCAGGAAGTATATTATTTAACTTACATTGATTGTCAATCTAATGTCTTTATTCGAAGCTCATATAAAAATAAATCTATATTAGTTTATGTTTTCTTATCAAACCAACTTAAAAATTGCCTAAAATACTTTTAAAATAATAATCGAGAAATTGGTGTTATCCGATTCTTGACATATCAATATTTACATCCTTGTTTGAATGATAAGTGTCAATTTTGTGATGGCCACGCTTAAGACAGATATTATGTTATATGTTCATATCGAGTGTTAGAATTAATTGAGCAACAGGAAGAGAAACAGCTCGCTTGGATCAAAAAAATATTTAATTACTACCTGCAGTTGTGAAAAAATAATAAATTTTATTTAAGGAGCCACAACAGTCAAGATGACTCTAGGAACCTACAATAGGCATCAAGCCGAACGCAAGAAGTGAGAATTAATGTATTTATTTAATGCATTTAAGAAAAAATCAATATTTAATACTGTATTTTTTTAAACGCAGACAAGCGGCTCTGGCAGCGGCTTTCCCTCAGGGTATTCGTTGCCAGAAGTGTTTGGAGTATGGGCATTGGAGTTACGAGTGCAAGGGGAAGCGTAAGATACTCGTACGTCCATCCCGATCGCAAATATTGAAGAAGAATTTGCAATCAAAGAAAGAAAGTGATTGCAGGTAATGAAAATGAATAATTAATATCTCGATTCTTAGAAACAGTTTACTCCTTTCTACAAATTAAAGATCTATGGCTTTTTTTATTACTCATAATATGATTAGACTCATTTATTTGTGTTTAAATTAAAGTACATTCAGTTCAAAAATATCTGATTTTGAGGGTGGATTTATATTTTATTTAAATTTTAACTGCCACACCTAAAATGGAATTTTAAAAAACTACCCTCATTTGAGTTTATTTTAAGAAATCTTCTAATTTAATAAATTTTCAGCAACGGAAAATGCAAAGTTCCAAACAAAAAGAAGAGGCAATCTTCAGACTGCTCGGATTGCTCTGGAAGCAGCTCCTCGGGCAGTTCCTCTGATTCATCGTCAGGCAGCTCAGATTCCTCGGACAGCGATAGCAGCAGTGATTCCGAGAGCAGCAGCAACGGCAGCAGCAGCGGCTCCGAGTCTTGCAGCGATTGTTAAGCTATTACATATAAAGGAATCTTCTCCAAGCATATTCCTATTCAATTTTCTATATTATTTATTTTTCTACCTATACCCTTTAATCTTAATAAGTTCTTGCTTTCTGTGTATATAATTTTTTTTTTATTTCTTTTAATTTTTCTTAATTCGCCGGTAAGTTTTATATGATGCTGGTCATTTAAAATTAGTGTAAGTTTTGAAAATGATATGTTATGATTGCTGATGTACTAAGTTTTATTCTATGACTTCAGTTGACTCTAGTTGTCTTGTAAAGAATTGTTGTAAGTTAGACATATTGTTTATTGGTAATGAGGGTGAAATTTGTCTTAAGCTAAAAATGTTTCTGATAAAATGTTGGTGTGATTTTAATTTAAGTAATCTTTTTAACAATTACAAGTCTAGACATGCATTGTTTCAAGCTGTACAAACATGCTATTAGTAGTGTTTAAAATATGATTGTACCTTATTAAATTTACACTTAATTTTCTTGTAAGGACTGTATGTGAAATGTTTTCTGGAGTAAAATTGTTTTTTTTTATTTAATTAATTAGACATATGGAATTTCGAGAATAAAATAAATTAAAGAATTTGGATATTACATGTGTATTTATTTAGAAAATAATTGATTACATTCATGTCACAATATTAATAATTTGTACTAAGGCACAGTTGAGTTGTGTATAGCTAGATGGGGATTTAATTAACACTTATAATTAGACAAAAACATGTAAAAATCACAGTTATCCCTTATATTTAGTGAAAAAATCTTTTTTCTGACAATTTAAATGAACTGACTATAAAAATAATGTGATGCAAATAGTTAAAACATTGATATTTCTGACTGCATATGAAAACCTAAAATCTAGTTGATTGAAACTTGAAATTCTAAACGAAAATAACTCAGTAATAACTTTAACAAAGAATTATTGATCTGTACATAATTATTTCAAAGATACTTAATGTTTTAAGCATTCAAAGTAAGATTATTATTTGAAAGGATATATTTATCCAGCCTTTCTATATCAACTTAATAAATCACCAATATTTATGTAAAATCGAGATTACCTTACAAAAATACAATTATGTTAGAAAATTCAAAGAGAGCGAAACAAACATTAATTAACCGATGGCACTTCAGGTAAAGTGTGAACAATGACTTTCCGTTTAGCATCATAACTAAAGTTATTCATTTTGAATATTCTACTATCATAGAAAGGTTTAAGATCTGTGATATTGATTTGTCTTGCTCTTTCTGTTAAATCTCGTTCTGATATCTCTATAGTTGATTGGGAGTGATTGTGCAAGCCTCGCATATATGCCAGCTGGTCCATAGTAAGTTGTCGTAGAATGTAGTATAATAGTTCGCTGTTATCTTTCTTGTATGAGAGGTATTTTTGGAAGGTCTGTCGCATGGCTCGCATCACACTGTACTTTTGTGTAGCCACAAAGCTTTCTAACATGGTTCTGATGGCTATATTAACGTCTTGCTCGTTTACAGCCGCCCTTAGATGCATTCTTGCATGAGCCTCGGACATGCGGATTACTGTGAATATATATTAGTATGATAATTTTTATGTAAAGTGATATATTGATTTGGACAAGTTGTATAAGGGGAAGTTTGTTATGACAATTCTATATTATATATAATTTCCTTTTTTTGATACTTGATTTATTGAATATTTCGAATCTATATAGTTGAAATACAGTTAAAAGTATATATTATTTCACTACAATAAATTCAAATTAAAGAATATATCTCAGATTTTATTATAAAATATATGTATTGATCAAATTTTTATGGTATTACTATTAATTGATAAAAAAAAATCTTACCAGATTCAATATGTCTCACAGTGATAGGTAAACTGCCTGTGGCTAAGGACTCTTGTCGTAGTTGGCTGTACATTTTCGCTACTTTGTCTTGATCCATATTCTAAAAAAGATAGAAAATTCATACTACTGGCTAATAAACAGTTTCATTGTGGAGTTATAACTAAATAACACTTTAATTTGCAGATTTTATAAGTTTTATTTATCTAAATTATGAAAGTTTAATTTCTATTAAATATTTCATTAAAAACTTCATTCCATATTTGTAACTATCAACTCCTAAAATAATAAATTAGCAGATGCTTGACGGGAGGGATAGTCTTCACAGAGTCATATCTAGCATGTAGGATTGCATCATTTATTAATTGTTATAGTATTTACATTATAACTCGTGTTTAGTAATAGCTCTGTCTTAAAGAGATCTCCGATTTTCGCGAGTTATTTGAATGAAACTGATATTTTTCGGATATACTACGCGACTTTATCTTGTATATAAAATTCTCGTGTCGCGGTGATAGAAAAATATCCAAAAATATGGAACGCTTCACGATTTTGCGTCTCATTTTGGAATGATACACAGAAGATTAGCATGGCCCCTGCGCAAGGATGACACTCATAATCGTGATGCGTTCCACATTTTTGGAAGTATGTAATTTTTATCAAAAATAAAATCACGTAGTATATCCGCAAAATATTAGTTCTGTATTTTTAAATATAAATGCTTGTGCTTTACGAGAAATATAATTTTCTTTCAAATTGTACTCTACAAAAATATTCAATTAATAAACTTTAAAGAGTGTCTTACTTAGCAAAATTAAGAAAACCTTTAAACCCAATGCAGTTAAATGATTTTGCCTTCCTTAAATGAAATCTCCCACGACCTTTTCGACCTTATATACTATTTAAAACACAATATACATATATCTATATGTATGTGTATGTATATTACCTGGAGTTTAGGATGAATATTCTCCCGTGAGTAGACAATGTATTTCTTTAATAAATCCTGTGGCAATGTGAAATCGTTGTCAACTGTAGTATCTTCTATGGTAGTACCGCGTTGAGTGGGGTGATGTCTTATATGAGAGCTTACTACGAACCTGGATACATAATTTATATGTAAAGTACTAAATTATATAATAGCATATATTACATAAAAAATACACAATTTGAGTAATACTGTTAGGTTAATTATTATAAATATCTTTTAAACATTTCAGCAATATGTACACAATGGTTAAATTCAAAATAAGTGTAGAATTATGAAAAATTATTAAGGATCTTATTAAAAAAACTTAATAGACGATTATAGTGTTGATATAACGCTTAAATATTATCAACGAAACAAAAGAAAATCACATATCAAAATTGATGCACGATGGCTTAAGTGTTATATCAATAGAACGTAATATATCAGAGGTAATGAGTTTCAGTCTAAGTGAATCTCTTATAAATTATTATTTTATAGTATAATTATTAATTATACTTACTTAGCCAAATGCGCGTCCTGCATAGGATCAGCCTCGTCTCTAACAACACACAACACGTCGAAACGTGATAATATAGGCTCAGATAGATTCACGTTCTCAGAGAATGTTAGCGACGCGTCGTAACGACCGCCGATGGGATTGGCCGCGGCTATTATAGAACATCTAGAAAAATACCAAAGAGGTTAATTTATAATTATTTAATGTTGGCAACATTGATAATGTAGGCGCGAAAGGTAGCCATGATTTTAGTGGAAAAAAAATATTAATTAAAAACTTAAGAAGGATAATTCGTTGGCGAGTTAGTAAGATTTTCTGAATTGTTACATACTTGTATCGAGTGCATTTGTTTCAATCCTTTTTTGCTTCTAGATTAAACAAATAACATTTATGTGGCTGGCACAAAAATTACTATTTTCAACTATTTGTAATATACAGGGTGACTGTTGAATTACTATCAATATTTAAGGAGAATACTCGGTACATGATTCTCATTCGAATTATGTAAAAAAAAATAGGTACTTAATTTTTGGCCAAATTTCCGTATAAATAAATAAAGTGTGGACACGTTCCAAGTGTGAACGTTTGCGTGTGTGTGTTTGTGTGTATACCTAATCTGTAGGGTGTTCACACGATGCGTAATTAATTACATAACTTTTGGTTAACTTTACTTAGAAGTTTATTAATATTTATGTTATATTAATTTTTATTTTGTCATATATGATCGTCAAATATCACGTCCTCAAGTATCGACAGTAATTCACCAGTCACCCTGTATATGTATATAATTTCTAAGATACCTAGCATGTAACGACGTAACAATCCCAGCCTTAGATATAGATATAGATTGTTGTTCCATCGCCTCGTGTATAGATGTACGGTCTTGATCATTCATCTTATCGAACTCATCTATCAGACAGACTCCTCGGTCAGCTAGTACCAACGCCCCGGCCTCCAATGTCCAATCCCTAAAATTAAATTAAACTTTTCATAAAATCGTTTAAATTTAAACTTTATCTTTTGCAATAACTCGTAAGTGTCATAACAATACGTATAGACGTAAGCTCGAAAGATAAAATATTTTATTTATTATGGTTATACTTTGAATGACCATTTTCGTAAGTTAAAATTTGAGATATGTAGTGTAAAATGAGAAAATCATCATAACAGTCAGGATTCAAACTCATAAACATTTCGACGGTTGCATTTTTTGGAATTTTTCATTCTACATATTTTACCCAATTTAAATGTGACTTTGACGTTATTTAAAAATTAATAACATAATTTCATAACTGAAACTAAAGTAGTTTTACCTGGTCGTGGGATTTTTTCTCACATAAGCTGTGAGACCAACCGCGCTAGCTCCTTGACCTGTTGTAAATACGGCTCTTGGTGCAATCTAGAAATGTATATCAAGTTAATATACGTTAATTAATTATTTATATAGTGTAAAATCTACCAAACTTATTTCTATACATATGTATAGTAAGAAATAAATATTGAAACTTATAAACTATAAATATGACTGCTACAAAGTGAGTCAGTAAAGTTCCTCTTAGGAATTTTATCCATACAAAAACGTCGGCCCGGCGATGTTCTTTTATTTAAGAATATGTTTTGTGTTAGGAACAAATTAGTTAATAATTATTATAAACGAAAAATATAGACAAAATTACCTTTTCAGTATATTTGAGGAATTGCGATTTAGCTGTCCCTGGATCTCCACATATTAAAACGTTAATGTCACCTCTTAACTTATGTTTTTCGCCTGGAAAATATTAGTGTTACCAAAAAAAACTCAATTATAAATTTTTATTACGAAAAATTATGTATTAAAACAACAATTATATGTATTTACCGGGATTTTTAGGTTCACCGCCGAACAAAGCGAGCGCCAAACCTCTTTTGATGTAATCATAGCCGTATATAGACGGGGCTATGCTCTGTACAATTCTTTCCCCAATTTGTGGGTCTTTGGACAGTTTTAGAATACTGGCAACATCGTCATCAGTGAGAGACTCAACAATGTGCTTGCAGTCCTTAACTACTATGTAGTTTGCTATAATTACAGTTGCAAATACTGGGAAACCCTGTAAATAATTATTTATATTTTTAAATTAACCTATTGATTACAAAAAAGATGACAAATGAGGCAAAAAAAATTATATAATGGCAATATTGGAATTATGTAATGAGGTATGAGACATTCTTTTTATTACTTGTATTATAATAATAGCTAGCTAAGGACTTTGTTTATGTACTGAATTACACATTTGATCAATCATAGATCTTTATTAGGTGGTTATCATATTTATTTATTATGAAGATTAATATTACCTGTTCAGTATTGAGAGATCCATCATAATTATTAGTGTAGATCCCAGTTAGGTCTACTTCATCTCCTGGTTTGCATCTATCACAGAGGTCAGCTAACAGAACACAGTCCTTGCTCCTCGGTATTCGACCAGCTGGGATCCTTCCAGGTGACTCCTGAATTGTGACCTTCTGATAGTTTCTATATACAGTTTGTTCCATATTAACCTGCAAATTTAATGAAAAACACCTATTAATTTTTAGTATATGAAAAAATAATAAAAACAGGATATTAATTTAGCTTGAATACCCAGCATATGATATATATGTTCAGTCGACTCTCGTTTATTCCAACCCACGATGATTAGAATCTCTCTATAATTCAAAGTTATCACGAGGTCCCTACAAAATCTCTTTATATATCGAACTAAATCAATACATTTTAAAGCACTTAGTAATTCGAACGAAAAAATAATTGCTATATCCCTACTAATATTATAAATGCAAAAGTAACTCTGTCTGTCTGTTACGCTTTCGCGCCTAAACCACTGAACTGATTTTAATAAAATTTGGTACAGAGATAGAGTTGACCTTGAGAAAGCACATAGGATAGTTTTTATCCCAGACTTTTGAAAGGTTCTCTTGGAAACGCGATACATATAAACGAACTCCACGCGGGCGAAAAGCTGCGGGAAGAAAGCTAGTGTATAATAAAACGACGCGTTAATTCGAACTCTTCGGCGTCCAATACTCGACAATTCAAAATTGCAGAGAGAAAGAGGTCAAATGATTTTAATGTAAGTAAATTTGACGACAAGTTCAAACTTGAACAAATTTAGCAGAGGTGTCAGTTCCTCATTCGATACCTTACAACGCTTCTGTCAGCAAAATGAAAGTGATTAAAAAACACTTCAGGAACTTTTTATCTCTTAAAAAAGTTATGGAGCAGTCTGAGCAACAGAAATGTGTTTCGAAGCAAACCAGCATAACAGAGTTCTTTCGAAACATTTATTAATTCATATTAAGAATAGTTTAATGTATGTATACGAATGTTCGTGTATGTATAGCATATATAAAATAGTAGTTAATAAATAATTCTTGATCAATACTTAGTAATTCGAAAATTATTTTTTTCTTTTGAAAATTCCGAACCATTTGATATTTCAAACATTCGATAATTCGAAATATTTTAAGTCCCTCGAGATAGGAATTAACGAGAGTCGACTGTATATGCAAATTTTTATAAGAAAAATTACTCATATATGAGTATAACGATTCGCATAACATACTACAACATACCAAATGTATTAAATTAAATCATTCATATACTCACCATAAACGGCCCCGAGCTTTGACACTCCGGACAAGAGCCGGGCTTGACTTCTGAATTCTGTGATTGTACGAACGGTCCCAATATGTAACCGCATCGGTTACAATCATATTTGACCACGGATAGTTGTGGCAGTACCCCGGTTGTGGCCGTTATAACGCCCACGGTGCGCACCAACTGGTTCAAGTGCAACTTTCTGAAGGTCCTCAATTCTTCTATGAGAGGAAGGTCAGCAATACGCACATGTACCTCAGATGTCACACGTTCGTAGCTCGGGAATATCTGTAGTACTATCTCTTTGGCCACTTCGTCGAATATTTGTAACATTTGAAACGGTGCTTCGGGCAAAAAGTATGCTAGAACTTGTTCTCTTCGCGCTAATACATCGAATTCCACGTGGAATGAAGCCTGATTGTGTTCGCACATTCTACGTATTCTTTCTTTGTACACATACTGGCCTTTAGTGTTTGTGTAGGTGCGGAGGAAATTCTTGAACCTGAAATTTTTTGTCAGAAAATTATACTTTAATTATATTTATATGTAAAATTTTGTAAATACATGGAATTAACTATTAAAGCTGTTAATTCTGCGGTATTCATTTATAAATTGCGTCATTTCAATCAGATTGAATTAATTTAAGTTTTTAATCAGGGTCATTTTATAAATCCCTTATTTTATTTTTAATTGATGAAGTTTCTTTCATTTATACAGATTTATATTCTTGTTATATATTGTATCAAAAACCTTTTCATTTACTGTTACTAAATTTCTATCATACCTTCTCTTTTATACCAATTTTCCATCCTGGTGTAAGAAATATAATGCAATTCCATGGTTGGAGATGAAATGGAAATATATACATACATATTAATCCAAAATTATAATTTAAAATCATGTAATATATTATTTAATAACTAATAATGTTCTTAGCATATTTATATTTCTCTTACATCAATAATATTCGGGGACTGAATAAAATTAATCATATCGTAATATAGAAATATATAGAATTAATTAACCAAGTTTGAAATACTAGGAATGCAACCAGCTTCGCAGGGGTACTTTAGAACTAATATAAAATAGCATATGTTGTGTAAAATGCTTTGAATACTTTCTTTTTGAGTTGAATCAAGACAAACAAAAATTTCATCATCTTTCTTAGTTAAACATTAAATAAGTCTGAACTTAGAAAAACAGTATATTTTTATGTTCATAATAGTTTTTTAATATAGTAAAATTACAAAAATTTTATAAATATACTAAATAGATGATGTGAAAAAGTGGGCTATCGCGTGGGTTTTATTTTAAAATATCACAGACGGCTCTTTTTTTCCCGATATCTTCAACAATTATCCTTATTATACACACAAATCAATATAAAACATTTAAAAATTATATATTAAAACCTTTCTCGAGAATCACGCTATTGAATGGTGAAAACCGCTCGGTAATTTGGTGCAGTAGTTTTCCTGTTTTTCACGAACAAACAGACAGACAGACGCGGCGGAGGATTTTTTATTATAGCATGTATTGATACAAATTAATAAATAGTATACCTATTAGCTATCTCAGTACGAGGCCCCAACATTGACACCCATTCCTTAGTGGAGTATCCTTTAGTATCTTCGAGGTTTTCTATACTTTCAATCCCCTCCACGGGTTCCTCCATCCCGGCAGCCTTCTCCGCAGCCCTACGTCTTTTAGCACGAGGGGCGTCACTACTGTCTTCATCGGATTCATCTGTAATTTAAATGTTTGTTTTTTGTATTTGTAGTGTTTAATAATAACATGATGTGAAGTATAATGTAGGTGTATATAGTATTGTTAGTTAGCACAATACATATATTACCATTTTAAGATAGTTTTATTGAGTACAATAAAATTATATAGAAAAAATTTAAGTACTAGCATAGCATTAACACTAACTATACTGTCATAGAAATATAAAGACACTGGCTTGAAATTTAAAAAAATGTATTAATGTTTTAAGATGTTCATTAATACTTAAAATTTATTAGAAATATTAATTTAGCTAAAGTAGTACAAAATGTAGTAAATAGTAGTTTTTTTTAATGAAAACCTGCGAAAGTCTTAGATCTTATTAACTTGAAATTGTACACTTCTAATCTTTATATATATAATTTTTCTGTGTGTGAAGGTCACTGACCTTCTCTCAAACGACTGGACCGATTTTGATGAAATTTTTTGTGTGTGTTCAAGAGGATCTGGGAATGGTTTAAATTCACAATTTTGTCCGCTGGACAATGTTTTTTTAATTAATTTTTAATTTATTAGTAGTTGTTGATACAAACGTTTTTTTTTGAAAATTAGATTTGACAACTAATTAATTTGTCAATCATTCTGTCGCACTTCAAAACACGGAGATTTATGGCTTTAATAGGTAAACTCCAAAAATATAAATAAAAAAACGTAACCGATATGTCTTGATTATAGAGCGATACGAAGTTCGCCGGGTCTTCTATTATTGCTATAAAAAAATCATATAAGTTATATTATATTTACCATATAACAAGTCCCTATCATCTCTCCGTATGCGTCCTTCATCTCTATCCCGTCTCTGTAGTTCCCGTTCCGCGGCCACTCGATCTCCAACAGACATGGCGTCGTAATCCTCGTCATCTAGGTCTTCGGCATCATACCGATCCAACGCTGGCATTGGTCGGTAATCACTAGTATTAAAGAAGACAAGGACTTTATAATAAATGTTGATATCGAAATAATTATGATTTAACTAGATCATGGTCAAGACTAGCGTTGCCAGGCATCCGGATAAAGCCGGACATAGTTAGGCTTTTTCATTGCGTGTCCGGCAAAAATAAACGGTGTTCTTCTTGTCCGGCTTTTGTTAGGCTTTTTACATTTCGCATAAGGCAAACGTTGAAAGATTTTTTTTTTGATATGTGACCAATGGACGAAAGAACGCAATAGATTACCTATATGTTGATACTGTTTCCAAAATGTTGGTTGTAGAATTTAATTTAAAACATTTGACATGTAAGGATTTTTACTACAGTAGAAGCTCCTTATTCGCGCTTCCTTTATTCGCGTTTTCACTATTCGCTGATTCAAAAAATGCTACCCAATCCCTATATTCGCGACTAAAAATTTCTTTATTCGCGGATCTAGTAAGTACATACATAATAATAAAATTATCGAATAAGTATCTAACACAATATACTTGTCATATAGACTAATAAAAAAGTAAAATAGACCTTATTACAACTTCACCATAAGTCTTCTTCTTCTAGAAGAACGTTACCATAAGTATGTTGTTAAATGATATCGCCAAGGTCTTCGAAAAAAGCCGCCTTCGCCGCGAGCGGTGTTTTTGAGAATGTAAAAAAACAATGAAAGCAACCTATAAACCGACATAGAGGAAATGTTAAATTTACAGCCCGTTGAAGAAAAGGCTTCAACAAACACTGGAAACATGACATTTACAAATTTGAAAAATCTTAGTGAAGGTTTAAGAATGGCAAATGAGCTTTGCGATTTCTTTATGAACATTGATCCGTCTATGGATCGAAGTCTCATTTTTAAGAGGCAAATTGCTAATGCGGTTGCTGTATATCAGTCTGAATTGAAAGAGCTTTTGAAAACTGCCAAGTGAGAAAAAATTACAAAATTCTTCAAACCATTGCCTAAGCCTTAAGATAATTAATTAAAATGTTCAAAAACTTCAATTAATTTTTTTTTTATATATTTGTTGTTTTTATTTTTGTCACCTAGGAATGTATCCCCTATAATCCCATATAAATTACCATTCTGTATTCACGATTTCTGTATTTGTGGCATATTTATGGAACATATACCCAGGAATAAAGAGCTTCTACTGTACTACATTTTGAAAGAAACTGAGCTCTTAAAGCAGGTTTCAACAAACCGAAAATATAAATAATTATTTTTATTATGTAACTCAAAGAGGAATTTTTTTTTTTTTGTTTTATATTTTAACTTTAAAAAGAAGTTATTTATTTATTTTGTTAAAAATGTCTTATTTGTTGATAAATGTTTAAGTATCTAGAATTTAATTTTAACTGATGACTAATGATTAATAATAAAGTAACTATCTAAGACTGATTTGACATTCGATTTTACTTATTATTTCACTAGAAATTAACAAGATTTATGACAATAATCAAAAAGACTTGAGTTTACATAAAAAAAATTGTACCTATTAATAATAAGACAAAATCCTCAATAATATAGGGTGTCCGGCTTTTTTAACCAAATGTCCGGCCAAACTGGCTGGTCTGTCCGGCTATTCGATTTGGCAACCTGGCAATGCTAGTCACTAGTCAGGACTAATGTTTTTGGATTTTGAATTCCAGAAATGTGTAATAATGCATTGATTAAATTAAAGGTTTTGGATATTTTTTACATATTATTGTAATTATCCATTTGTATGATATGATTAGAAATATGTTATATTGAAATAATTGTTAATGTAAATAATAAAATTTTGTTTTTTTATGTTCTATTAAATATATAATACGGAAGTGTTGCAATTCATTAATTAAATATCAACCTTTTTTACCAGAACAACAACACGTAAAGCATTCTTGCATTTACTTTAAAAAAGTACATGATTATAATTACGATACATATACATTTTAATTTATATTCACAATTAAAACAGGCATTACATGCTACTTACGCTTCCATATTATCATTGAACAATTCCTCTCCATCTTCCTCTTCTTCGTCAGCATTGTCACCCAAGATGGCTCCTTCATCTTCAAACATTTCGTACTCCCGAGCTGGTGAAGTCATACGGGACCGAGCCCCATCTCTATCAGACGGCGTATCAGGAATGGGAGAACTCTAGAATACAAATACACTTTACTATTAACACCAGGAATCTATGTTGGTACTTATCACATATAAAACTTAGCAGATACAGTCTTCAACACAATAATTCCTTCACAAGTTTTTGTTGGTTAACTTTGTTTCTATATTCTTAGAAAAGAAGTCCTTTTATTCAAAATTCCATACTAACCATTTTAGTAAATGTAACCTAGTATAAAGTAATGAATATATGTTTATGTTCTATGTTTTATGAACAACGCAATATAGAAAACAAACTTAAAATCCGTTATAAACTCTCATTTACAAAAGAAACGATATGAAAACATGTTTGATTTCAATTGTCAAAAAGAGCGCGAATTCCATACCACAGATAATGTTTGACATTGAGAATGTAAATGTTATATGTAGTTTAAACATTATTTTAAAATTGTAATTTATTAACTTTCCCTTGTATTCAACATTATTTAGGTGACATAAAATTTTAGTAGATCGCTTTATAAAACAACGCTTATAACATAATGGAAAAAATTATAAAATATTTCCGAATTAATTGCAAATGCGATCATTAGTTTTTACTTTCCATATCAGTGATAAGCTAATGATTCAAACATTGTTAACATAACAAATAGGTATTAGATATCCAGGTGCCCATCTACGTATAAGCATATTAAGTAAACTTTGTATTTGACAAATTGACAATTTACGTGGAGGTCTCTTATTTGACAAATGACAGCTTTAGGAATACCTAAGACCCGGAGAGTGGTCAGTTGTTCTGTGTTCACTGCTTAGTGATTTAGACTGGACGTCGCAATTAAAGAAAATAATCGTGATCCAAAACAAATACCCGAGCAAAAGGGTTGAAATGTCCACATATAATTTTGCTATAATAATATGTCGGCTTGGTATTGGCGAGTGATTGCCTTAAAAGCGGTATTCGCGTTAACTTGTTTTGTTTCTTCTCTACGTGCTGATGATACGGTGCAAAAATTGCCTTTCTGTAATCCCACAACCTCGAAGGAAACTCCTAATTTCAACGAGTACGTAACTAACAAGATTTTTGGCGCTAAAAATTTTGAGTTTTTTTTTTTATAAGTACATTTTAACGATGTTTTGTAAACAAGTTATGTTTATATGATTTTGACATGAATGAGTCATAGGTTGGTCTACGAAAGCTTCAGGAACGCTATCCATAACTTGGTCTGACATGTTCAAACTTGCTTAAAGATATAGTATTACCAAGAAAACAAATTTCTAGAAAATAAGTTCCAGATTTACCACTCCTTAATATAAATTCTAATACATCTTATTAAATTCAAACTATAAAAACAAAAATGTACACTTTTTATTGCATAATATTAGTGTACTATGCATAAATTACAAGCATATATTGAAAAACTTATGAAGTCCGACACTTTTAATCAAATATATATATGTGAATGTTAATTTCATAAGAAAAATCATTTCAGCTTGCTAATTGTTAGCACTTTAGATGGAAAGATCTCAGCTTTCGCCACCGAAAATGGTATTAAGGCCTGGGATTTGGAGACTCAGCCATTATTGTCATCTAATTTACATAATGTTGAGGTAAGATTTAAAATAAGGCTGGATGGATAAAATTATTATATAAGACACTTATATTAGTGGTATAATTACCAAAGAGGGTTGATGTCAAGCAGGCGGCCAGTCATAAAAACAATTAGCCAAAAGTATTCACAACATGTAAGGCAGACCCTGGCTAAAGCTGGGAAATTGCCAGGTAGAAGAAAAAGAAGATTTATATTAGTGGTATAATTATTGATACATATTAAACAATGTATTATTTCCACTTGAATAATAATTTTCATTTAAAGACTTAACTCAATTCCAAAATTGACCTTTTTTTTCAAATATATAAACTTTTTATTTTTCTTTAACTGATCAATTGGATTCTAAATTTGAATATATTTCTAATATCAAGAGAGCATAGATAAAATATTTCTTTTACTCTTGTTATTTGTTTAAGGTATTGAAAGTATTTATATTAAATTCAAGTGAATTACAAGTTAGTATTATTGATGAAAAAAATATGAATTGGAAAGAATGCAATATTAGCAATATATAAATATTACAACTGATTATCATTAAAATCTCAAAAATTCTTTACTTAGTATGTATTTTTAATGATTTTGGCTGTGTCTGCTATAAATTGTTATGTGTTATTTTGTTCCTAATTTGATTAATTATTCAAAAAATATATCTATTAAATAATATAATACAATCTTTATCACAATACTAGCCTAAATTTCAAAACCTATCTTCAATTACTAGGTATTTTTTAGTGTTAATAACATTTAATTTTATTGCATCATTTTAATGGTTCACAAAATCCACTTTGTATCATGAGAATTGTTAGCATAATTGGATAAATGGATAAGCTATACTTCTCTGAACTACAATTTTCTACAATTCTTTTTCCTGATATGCTAAAGTTATTAAAAAAAAGTTTTATATAAATGAGTACTTTTTGCAGGTTATAAAAACAGGTTTACCTGTGCTATAAAAATCCTGTTTTGATTAATACGAAAAAAATAATAATACCTATCCTCTTTATCAGTAAGGAAAGTAATAAGTGCCTTTATCAAAGAATAATATATATAGTATTTTCACATTTTTGTCCAACTTATAATATTATGAATAGTCTAATATAGACCTAAAATTTGCTAATACTACTAATATACATGAAGAATATTATAAAAAAGGTTATATATTTCTTTCATATGTTAAATTTTATTCCCTTATAGCTAACATCAGATGGAAAATGGGTTCGTCTCGTGCCATCCCTCCGTGGCACTTTGTACAGTTTGAGTGGAGATTCAATCGAGCCCTTGCCATTCAGTGCTGAACAATTATTGTCTTCGTCATTTAAATATTCAGATGATATGGTGATAGCTGGTATGTTGTATAAGCAAAGTTTATAAAAATAATGCTCTTTTTATAGTACACACACACACACATTTATATGTATGTATTATGTAGGAAATTATACATTTAAATATTGGTCTACAATAATTATTGAGTGCAAATAATGTTTTGTTTCATATGAAATTTATTATGAAACATTTAAAAGATAATATATCTATTGTTAATTATTATCAGGTGATGTTTTTTAAGATTATTAAAATAACACAACATACATCTAGTATGTTTACATATCACATATCGAGTTCAGATAAGTGTATTATTTGTTGTCTAAATTTAACATATGATATGTGTTATATATATGAAAATCAAATATTTATAAAATGTATTTATATATATCTTAGATATACAGGGTGACTGGTGATTTACTATCAATATTTAAGGAGAATACTCGGTATATGATTCTCATTCGAATTATGTAAAAAAAAATAGGTACAGTAGGACCCCGATTATCCGGACTAATTGTTGTCGGTAGGCATCCGGATAATTGAAAGTCCGGATAATCCAATATATGAAGAAAAACGGGCTTTTTGCATATTTACATATGTAGTCTGTACCATACATATGTAATGTTAGGTGTTTATTTAAAACTACAAATACATATGAGCGAAAATCAACGTTTATTAAGAAATTGTACATAATATACGTATAAGTGTTATAAGTGGCGTGGCGTTATGCATGTTCTGACATGTTAATCTATACTAATATTATAAAGCTGAAGAGTTTGTTTGTTTGTTTGTTTGAAAGCGCTAATCTCCGAAACTACTAGTTCGAATTGAATAATTCTTTTTGTGTTGTATAGTCCAGTTATCGAGGAAGGCTGTGGGCTATATAACATCACGCTACGACCAATAGGAGGAAAGATAAAGTGGAAAATGTGTAAAAAACGGGAGAAATTATTTCATCTTTGAAGCCTTCCGTTGCGTGCGCCGTGAAAACGGTTCAAGATACACAAAAAATATGTATTAAAGAATAATAGCTCTTTCAATGATCTAAAAAACAGTCCGCGACAGTATATGTCTATCTTTTAAGATTAACTCACAAAAACCGTTTTAATGGTACCTAATTTGGTCGAAATAATTTGTTTAAGTTGTATCAACATAATGATATTAATCTTTATTCATATAAACAAATAAATATGTTCTTGGTTAAGAGTACTTCATTGTGAATAAAAAAAACATAGGTTTTATCCTGAAAATTCTACGGGAAGTCGACCATTCCGAAAACCCCGCAAGAACGGGAACTATATGGGTAGAACCAAAAATCTGCCGGAAGTCACTATTCCACACGGACGAAGTCGCGGCAAAAGCTAGTGTTAGAATAAACTCGTCGCGATTGGCAGTCCGGATAATCGCGAATTCGGATAACCGAGGTCCGGATAATCGGGGTCCTACTGTACTTAATTTTTGACCAAATTTCCGTATAAATAAATAAAGTGTGGACACGTTCCAAGTGTTCCAAGTGTGGACGCCGCCGCACGCGTGTGTGTGAGTGTGTGTGTATACCTCATCTGCAGGGTGTTCACACGATGCGTAATTAATTACGTAACTTTTGGTTAACTTTACTTAGAAGTTTATTAATATTTATGTTATATTAATTTTTATTTTGTCATATATGATCGTCAAATATCACGTCCTCAAGTATCGATGGTAATTCACCAGTCACCCTGTATAATTATATATATGTATATTGTGTTCATTACATGTGTACATATTAATGAGTCCTTTACACATACAACCTAAGCTTTTTATTGGAAGTATACCAAATAGTCAATCATAAAAATGTTAATTAATTCATTAGTCAAATATTTTTATACTCCTTCAATTGAAATGTATTAAAATTAACCTTCGACCTTTATATCCTATCAATCATTACATCTTTGATTTGTTACATAGTCAGTGATAACAATTTAAAAATGATATCAAACATTTTTATACTGCCTCATCTAAAATGTATAAAAAAGACCTTTGACCTTTATTGTATACTATCAATCATTACATCTTTGATATGTTAACATTCAAGGTGCTCGAGAAACGTTATGGCTAGGTGTTGAAGCTCAATCAGGTAGTGTTATATATGAGTGTAGCTCAAGCGGCTGTAACTCTGAACAACAAACAGCTGGGGCGGGCCGAGATATGATTGTGTTGAGACGATACTCAACCACTGTGAGAGCTTTGGATCCTCGATCTGGCAGTGAGAAGTGAGTCTTATTATTATTGCTTTAATGGCTATTTTGAGTCAACATATATATATCTGTAGTATTAAATAAATCTATATTAAATTTGTAATTTGTATATGTATTGTGCTAAGAAAGACTTAATGAGAGAGTCTAATATAATAAAGTGATCTACCTATGTTATGCTTGACATAATATTATTAATTAACAATACTGACCAAGTACAACTAAAATACAGCTGCGTGCAAAAGTATTAGGCACCCCCTAATGTTAGTCACTATCTCATTATATTGCGGTCAAGTGTGTGTTTTATGGTTTAGCTATTGTATTAGCGGCAATTTTTAACCAAATTAAGATAAAAGAAAATATTTATGACATCCAGGTGTGCTCCTAAGCGGCGTTTCTTCGAATTTGCTTTTTTTGCGTTTCGGGTTATAGTGTGTTATCAGTGCTTGCAGTGAACATACACGTCTTCTACGCAACTATTCCTATCACAATTCTAAAGACTAACATTTAACGTGTTAATCATGCCGAAAAAATCTGAACTTGGTGCTGAACAGCGTCTAAGAATTAAGATTTTACATGAACAAGGCATGTCTCAGGTTAAAATATCCCGAGAAGTGAAGTGCTCGCGATGTGCAGTTCAATATGCTATAAATCGCTTCAAAGAGACTGGCACCCATGAAAATAGACCAAGAACAGGCAGAAGAAATGTTACTACTGAACGGGAAGATCGATTGTTGATTAGGCAGTCTCTACAAAACAGGAAAAAAACTGCTTTAGAGCTCGCTGCAGCATTATCTGAGGCAAAAGGCAGCTCAGTGAGTGTTTATACTGTGAGAAGAAGACTTTTTAAAGCTGGATTAAAAGGATGTAAAGCAAGGAAGAAGCCGTGGCTGTCAACACAATAAGAAAAATCTGTTGGAGTGGGCACTCAAACATAGAGATTGGTCAGTGGAAGATTGGTCCAACATACTGTGGTCAGACGAATCTAACTTTGAGGTATTGTTATTTATTTTATGTACAATATTAAAACACATAAATGTTTTTAAAATAACGTACTGCAAGAAAAATAATAACTTTGAAAATAAATGTGTTTTTTTCGTTTGGCATAGGTGTTTGGAACACCCGGTGTGACTTATGTTAGGCGAAGGGTTGGCGAAGAATACAACCCAGAATGTGTGGTTCCCACTGTTAAGCATGGTGGAGGCTCAATAATGATCTGGGGCTGCATGGCTGCCTACGGAGTGGGCGAAATGGTGTTGTGTGAGGGACGAATGAATAGTGTTAAATACACTGAAGTTCTGGAAACAGCACTAGCAACGTCGATAACGCAAATTTTCGGTGATACAAACACCGATGGCCTGAAATTTCAGCAAGACAACGCCACTTGCCACAAGTCCGCGCATACCATGAAGTGGTTTGCTGAAAATCATATTGATCTTTTGGACTGGCCACCACAATCACCAGACCTCAACCCGATTGAGCATATTTGGTCCATTTTAAAGAAAAATATCCGCAGGCACTCGATTAGCAATAAACAAGCTCTATTGGCCGCGTTACAGCAGGAATGGAAAAATATATCAAGAGAAGAATGTTTCAGGCTGGTAGAGTCAATGCCAAAAAGAGTGGCTGCGGTTATTAAGTCAAAAGGTGGACCTACAAAATATTAATTATTTTCTTAAAATAAACCATTGTAATCATAAATACAGTTTTATTTACACTCGCTATGCTAAAACACCCAAAAACTTGTCTTACTGTAGGGTGCCTAATACTTTTGCCCGTGGCTGTACAACAATAGTGGTAGAGAAATCATTTATTTGTTTTAAATTGTTATATATTATTTGATCTTAAATGATAGTATATATAAAATTATTCAGTAAGGCATTCCATTTCCATAGCAGTTGTTTTATTTATTTCTCAGTGTAAAAATCATAAATTCAGTATTATATAAAGCAACAATTTTTATTCACCATTGTTATAAAAATTGTAATTTCTGAACTTCTCCATCATTAATAATATTGCTTCTAATTTGATAATAGCTCAGATATGTTTATATATGTCACACAATAATATATTGATGCAGATTTTTAGTTCATGGTGTTACAAATATATAAAAATTAAAAGTATGATACTAAATTTTATATTCTAATGTAAGTATTAAAAACTCTTTAGATGGAACTTCAGTGTGGCTGAACACCAGTTGACTTTGAGTCGTAGGGAATGTCATGATAAAAGTAAACCTCGTGTGGTTGCTGTAGCCGTTGCTCTGCCGGACGGTGAAGTTGTTGTTAAAGATCCCGAAACCAAGATGGCCATTTGGCAACAGAAGGTATTGTAATCTTCACTTTAATATTACGCTGCTCATGATTTAAAGCAATTATTTGTATATCTAAAGACCCATTCTAGCTTAATACTGTTGTTTTTTATATGTACGCAATATTGTTCTATATAGATTCTTCTGACATGTTTGAAGATGATAATACAATTAAAGAGTTTTATACAAAGAGGTTATATATTTAATATTAATAAAGTTACTTATGAATTTATTTTATTTATTTATTTAGTAAGCATTGACATAATGTACCTATACAAAATAATATATAAAGATATTAATTGATATCTGTCTTATACAGATGGTTAACATCTGTATATAGGAATGGTGTAGAATAATGTAATTCCAAGATAAAATACAATAAAACATTGAATAATATATAACATAAAATAGAATCTTAATATGATATGATATGACATTGAGTTATTAGAAAAAAAAAACATATATAAATTTGCCTTTTGATTTAGACAATTTATTGATTGTACAAATACTTTTTCAGTTAGAGGCTCCCGTAGTAAACATGTGGCGTCTTCAGGGAGGTTTATTGGAGAATTTGGACGTTTTATTGGAAGCCTCACAGGCGCTTGTTGAAGTCAACGCGCCCGCATATCCGTCACTGTATTTGGGAATACATAACACACAAGTAGGGTTTAAAACGTTTTAACTTGAAAATAATCCAACCATTGTTCTGTACTTATATACATTTGTATTATATATGATATTAATTCTGACTTTAAACGTAGGATATATATATTTTAATTAAAAAATAAAAAGTCAAATAAAAAAATCTTATAATTTACCGAATTAGTTACAAAGTTGAATTGTTTCAGCTCTATATTCAAGAGAGCGCCATCTATGCACAAAAGCTGGAAACAGCTGTAGTGACGAAACCGATCCCTTGGAAGTTGAAGAAGTCCAGACCGCTGTTAACAGATGGCAGCACCGCTTTGACAACTGTGGATGAAGATAACTCACTATCAGTGGTCAGCATACCGGGGAAAATTGGGAATACAGGTAATATATTGGATGAATAAATAGATTTATTTGAAGTCAGAATATGTTGTTAATTTTGAACATTAGTGTTTTAGGAATTATAAAAATTGTTTTGAATATATGTTTTTTGTTTTGAATATATGTATAATATTTCTCATTTTCTGATATAAAAAATTACATATCTAGTTGGGTCTTTATTAAATTATACTATAATTGATAAAAATTTGTGTAATGTATAATATATGTTTTAAGGCTTATCATTACCTAAAACCAAAAAAAATCTATTCTGTATTAAATTATAATATAATTGGGTTTTTGAATAAATTTTTTTTTTGTGATAAATGGAAAGATCATATATAAGTTTTATAACAAAACTATTTTTATTTATTTTTTCTTTGCAATAATTAAAAAGTTATTTCAAAATAAAAATTAAATTTTAAATTCAGTACCGAAGATCCGCCGACAGCTCCCGAATAAATCCGAGCGCGTGTGACGTCACAATGTTAGTTTTTGCTCATTGCAGCATACAGAGATATAATAATTAGTACAGGGTTTTGAGTTTTTATCTAGTAAATTCTGTTGGCATTGTTAAATAATCAAAAATGTTAAAACTCAAAAGTTATCGCTCTTGTTTTGTACCATTATGTACAAATACTACAAAAACAACTCCTGAAAAAATGTTTTTAAATGTTCCACAAGACGAAAAACGTCGAAAAAAATGGTTTCAAGCAGTGCTCCGAGATTATTCAAAAACAAAATCAAATTTTTTTTGTTGTGAAAATCATTTCGATGTAAGTATAACAATAATATAATCATAATAATATTGTTATTAATTATTTTATATCTAAGAGTATAAATCGAATAAGTATAGTTCAGTAATTAATTTTTTTACCTGGGCTCCAAATCATAACCTTTAGAATCGTAGCATTAAAAAATTTTTAATTGATAATTCAAAGCTATTAAATAGTAAATCTATATGTATGTTTGTCTAATAATTGGAATTCAATTAATAGATATTTTCATAATTTTATAACATTCTAGGTTCTGTATCAGACTACATTTAAATTTTTAAAGTATATGTTATTTTGTTTTTTTATAATGTTATAATAACATTTTATTAATTCTTCTTTTATTATTCTTCTTCTTAATTTTTCATTGATAGTTAGAGTAACTGAGTAAGCTTTACTCCGAACTCAGTGTTCTGGACACACACGTCCTTTTAAAACACAAATACCATTCTTACGATTAAGTTGACCATAACCTATAGCTTAACCGTAACTCTCACGTGATCCTCTACAATTAATGAAATAATTATTAATTATATTTAATAGAGAATAAATACTTATTTTCATTTAGAATAGTATTTTTTAACAGACTTACCTTGATGCCTTAGCACCTCGAAATTCAGCAGAATTAAACCGAACGTCATTTTTTTTTAAATTAGTTATCATAAATATAGCAGGAATATTATCCGATTCTGCTTTTATAAATCCTTTATCACACATAGTTAGTGGAAATAAACTTTTCAAATCGTTTTTCACTAATAAATTTGAGATATTTTTATCAAGTCAAAGATAAAAGCCATAAACACTGTACTATTATGAAATTGCTTTAACATTATGACGTCACAAGTATGCTGACCAATCATGGCGCGTTTACAGTCACGTGATATATTTTTGAATTTTATCAATTTTTAATTGTTTATAATTAATTTAAAAAAAAATATTTCAAGGTTTTTGCATTAAAAATCCAATATAATTAATAATAACGTTTTAAAATACATAAAAAAAATCAATACTTTTTTTTTTCAAAAACCCAATTGTTCAAACCATGAATTAAAAAGGTAACTATATAATTAGATATATAACTTGTAGTTAACCTATATCAATTATATTTTGTAATTACAGAAAACAAGGGCTTCTTCCTCTATCTCCAAGACACGTGTGACAAGTCATTACAAGTTGACGAGGAAATGATTCCCGACATAGTAGCACCAAACAGTAGCGGTGATACCACGCACCACCACGTACACGTACACGTATACTCATTGTGGTTCTGGTGGAAAGAAGTACTTGTTATAGCTGTTAGCTCAGCATTATTACTGAATTTATTAATATGGCCGAGATTTTTCCCCCCAAAACAATTAGCCCCCGTACCAAGAAAGAAGAGGGAATTCGTTGTGGTCAGACACACGCATTTCGAACAGAAGCCGAGTAATGAGTATTCGGGACGATACGAAAACGATTTCACCACGTTGAAGTATCTTGGTAAAGGTGGCTTTGGTGTTGTGTTTGAAGCTAGGAATAAGATTGATCATTGTTCGTATGCTGTTAAGAGGATAACTCTACCGAGACGGTGAATAATTTGTTATATATTAGTTTAAGAAAGTATTCAAATATGTGTTTAAAATAAATTGATTACTTTAAGCTTGATAATCTTGTCATAAGGCAAAAGTTCTTGTTTATCAAAAATCCAGTTTATATATATTGTAATTCGACATATTATTGTATAATTTATAATACTGATTGGTCTGAAGTTGTATGTTTTTAATAATATTTTTTTATATATTATGTTACTTCATCAGTGAATCTCAACGTGAGCGCGTACTCCGTGAGGTCCGGGCCTTAGCTAAACTAGAACACGAGCATATCGTGAGGTACTTCAACGCTTGGGTCGAGGAACCTCCGCCGCATTGGCAGGAAATGAGGGATAAACAGCTCATGCAGTTAGTATATATGTTAATATACAGGGTGACTGGTGAGTTACTATCAATATTTAAGGACGTGGTAGTTGACGATCATATATGACAAAATAAAAATTAATATAACATAAATATTAATAAACTTCTAAGTAAAGTTAACCAAAAGTTATGTAATTAATTACGGATCGCGTGGATACCCTAGCTGCGTTATCGACACAAAACAGTTATGTACGTAGGTATATGTAGTTATCGCGCGGTAGTTTACCTACATCCAAACGCCGCGCGCCGCCGCGTGTTAGACCTTAGATAAACAAAAATGATCCATTTCCCTTCATACTTTAATCCTGGCTTAGGACAGGCAAAAATACCAAGATATTTCTTTCGTTTAAGCAACCAATTTATTGACTAGGTAAATGGTGTGACCTTGACACAAAAAAAATATGAACTGTTTACCTATCTTGGTATTTCCGGCGTATTTAAAAATGGAATCATACTTATTTACAACAATTGTCAATCATTAAACTACCTATTTACCTACATAACTACACTAACCTTAACAAATGTTCAAAGTGAGCTCCTTCTCGTGTGATACACAGTTCGGCACGTTTACACATATTGTCTTTCACACGATTTAATACGAATGGGTCACTTTTAATAGTTTTGAAATCACTATTGATTTTTAATTTCAACTCCTCTCTGTTTACATACTCTGTAGCATACACAAGACGTTTCCTTGGGCATGTGTTGGAACACGGAACTGTCCGAAGTCTCGTAATCTTTGATTAGCGTTTAAGATGACGCTGGCCGTAGGTACTCGACGATTGGGGAACATCTCCCGGTACAAATTGATTGCGCCCCGCAAGCTTTCATTTGCACGCGCATACGCATGAACCATGTCCAAGTATTCTGCATTTGTGTATTGAAAAGCCATATTTAATTACTAATAAATAATAACGGGTCACACGCACACACGACAGATTATTATTAGGTATACGCGTAAGATCGATCGCTAGGCGCGCGCGCGGGAAGACGAACGTACGGACCTTACAGCGGCGCTCGCGCGACTAATAGCCGACTAATGGCCCGCTAGCCACGGGGCGGGGGTTGGGGAGTAGCGACACACTGGCGCCGGCAAGGCACGTGTCCAAACTTTATTTATTTATACGGAAATTTGGTCAAAAATTAAGTACCTATTTTTTTTACATAATTCGAATGAGAATCATGTACCGAGTATGCTCCTTAAATATTGATAGTAACTCACCAGTCACCCTGTATAAAAGATACTTGGTCTTACACTATATAGGGTGACTGGTGAATTACTATCGATACTTGAGGACGTGACATTTGACGATCATATATGACAAAATAAAAATTAATATAACATAAATATTAATAAACTTCTAAGTAAAGTTAACCAAAAGTTATGTAATTAATTACGCATCGTGTCAACACCCTACAGATTAGGTATACGTACACACACACAAACGCGTGCGGCGGCGTAGTGTTGTATCAGCACGCCGCCGCACGCGTCCACACTTGAAACACTTGGAACGTATCCACACTTTATTTATTTATACGGAAATTTGGTCAAAAATTAAGTACCTATTTTTTTTACATAATTCGAATGAGAATCATGTACCGAGTATTCTCCTTAAATATTGATAGTAATTCACCAGTCACCCTGTATATAATTTAGGATTTGGTTGAAAATTGGTTGAGAGATAGCTTTGAACCAGGAAAAGAAAAATATTCTTTGATAAAATCAAAAATCATCTTATTTGCTGCTTTAAGGAAAAATAGAGTTCGCTTCGTAAGCTATACATTTCTAATTTTGAAACTAACGCGAACCAGGTCGCGGGCAAAAACTAGTATTTTCATAAAGACTGGACACTATACATACGCCGTTTAAATAAAAATATATAAACCTTTGTGCTGTGATACTAATTTTAGACTTGTTAACATATAAATTTATGTACATACTAGCTTTCCGCCCGCGGCTTCACCTTGGAGTTCTTATATCGCGTTTCCAAGAGAACCTTTCAAAAGTCTGGGATAAAAACTATCCTATGTTCTTTCTCAAGGTCAACTCTATCTATGTACCAAATTTCAATAAAATCAGTTCAGTGTTTTAGGCGTCAAAGCGTAACAGACAGACAGACAGAGTTACTTTCGCATTTATAATATTAGTAGGGATTAATTGTTTAATACTATATACAATATAACTCATTATATAGGGTGGCGCAAAAGTAAAGACCCTATTTGGTTCAGCTATAACATTTTTTCTAAATGAGAAATCGCCAAAACGAGAGATAACTCGGCCTGGAAAAGCGTCCCTCACTAAGTCCATAGTGTCGCGCGCTGTGTGTGCCGTAGCGCCGTCTTGTTGAAACCAGATGTAACTTTTAGTGGGTGTAGAGGTGTTTCTTGAATAATGCGCGGATTATCAGTGCCCCAGAACCGAGTATTCTGCTTATTGACATGCCCTGAGAGATGGAAATGCGCTTCGTCACTCATAACCAATTTTGTGTATCAACTCTCAATTCTGGTCACCATTTAAAAGACATCATCTTTAAATCCTAATGGTACGAAATTTAATGGCACAAATATACATTTAAAAAAACCTAAATCTAGTTTTCTCATTTAGAAAAAATGTTATAGCTGAACCAAATAGGGTCTTTACTTTTGCGCCACCCAGTACAATGTCACATATGACTGAACACCCTATATATAAGCTAGTATATAATTTAATCAAATTTAAAAATGGAACAAGCTGATATTGTTCCAGTGACTTGGGAGGAGTTTCACTAGTGATGTCCGACGACTACACCTCCCCCACCTCCCCGCCCGCATACAACGTGATGTCTAAACCTACCAATTGTGACGTCATGTTGAACCTTCAAAAGTCCATCGATATGGAGTATGAGAAAAAGTTGCCAGAACCAAGGAGGCTGAGGTTGTATATGTCATTTAATTGATACTTTTTTTCGAATTTTAAAAATAGAACGTTCTTATGAATATAATGAAAAGTACATATGCATTCAAAATTAGAATAGAACTTGTCGTTGTTGTTTTGTTATGTGATTGATAATCTATGTTAGCTTATAAATAATACTTGATGTAATTTAATGTGTAAATATCGCATTTTACATCCAGATCGCAGAGCTGCAACGATTCATTCACCGTTGAATTCGATGACGAAGCTTCTAAGCCGCATTTGACGTCCGAAAGTTCTAGAAGGGGTGACGTCACAAGTACAATCTCAAAGCACGCGGCAGCTGACAATGACGATTCATTCATAGTGTTCGCTAACAGTAATGCGGAACATTCTGGATTATCCGAAGCTAGACGGGACGTGTCCAATAGGATATTAGAGAAAATCAAGGAGTCTGAAGGATATAGAACTAGCAGCGTAGTGAGCCGGTCTAGGAAAAAGGTAAATTATGACTTGGGACTGACTGACTATACTTGTCTAAGACTTGACTAATTATAGTGAAGTTTTCAATTCAATTGATAATTTGTATCCAAATAATTAAAACGTCCTTGAAACTACAAGAAACAGTTAGATACGTAACATTTATTGCTATGAATATCAGTTATGGAATATAATAGGTGCTTAATTTTATTCACCCTCATCAAATACTTGGATTTATATAATATGAATGTAGCCAACAATAATGAATTTTATTATGTAATTACAAGTTTTTCAGACACATATTGATAGAGTCATAAATAATTATAGATTATATATACCTAAAATGTTTTTAATGTCCACAGAAAGGACACACTCGTCACTGGTCCCTAGACATGGTTGTGAACAGTGAACACAGCAAGATGTACCTGTACATACAGATGCAGCTCTGTAAACGAGACAGTCTGCACGACTGGCTGAGGAATAATAGTACGTGGGACTCGAGGAGAAATATGGTGATATATTCATTATATTATATATAAATATATAGTCAGGATTCTAACAAAATCACTAAAAAATGTAGTTATCTTATAAAGCTATATATCAAACATTAACTAGAACAAACTAATTATTACCTTAAGCCAAAACACCTTAAGTTAAATTCAATTTACAAAGACACAAATCGCGTCGTCAAATACTTTCCCGCGTAAAAGTGAACGAACCAAATAACATCGCTTTAAAGTCAGTTTGGGTTCCAGAATTTAAAGGTTCGGTTCAAATTAAATATGTTTTCCTTAACATATAATTTTATATTGGGAGAGTATGGAAAAGTTCAAGTGATACCGCTAGTATTGAAAGCATATATAGGCTATAATGACCGGTATTTAATCGGCAATATTTGAGTTTTGTTATTAGTGACCTAAAATTGATAACAGAGGGCGTTGAAAGATCTACTATTTTATTTTGCTATGAATTTACAATATTCATTAAAGGCATTTAAAATGTGTACATATATTTTTTAAATTTTTATTGTAGTTTGCATGTTTGACTTTTTATACTAATACAGTTATACAACTATATTGTTGATAATTTCTACATCAGTCACATTAATCAATAAAGACCAAACATAAGTAAACAGTTATTTTCATAAACGTAATAATATTTTTATAAATATATAAATCTCTCATAGCAATAAGCTTACCTATGTGTCACTTTGTTTCTTTGTTATTTTTTTTCTGTGTTACTTGTTTTTGGTACATGAATAAATAGATAAATAATAATATATTTCCAGGTGAAGCCTCTCTTTAGTCAGATAGTATCAGCAGTGGAGTATGTACACAAAGCCGGTCTTATCCACCGAGATCTTAAACCCCGGAACATATTCTTTGCTCTTGATGGAAAGGTCAAGGTTGGTGATTTTGGCCTTGTGACCACAATGACTGATAACACAACGGACACACCAACAGAATTGAATACAAATGCCTTACATACACATAAAGTTGGTGAGTTAACTGATTTTATATATGGATGTGTTTTTATTGTATGTTTGTTTTTGTTGGTGATATCTCAAAAACTTTTATAACTTTATTTTAATCTAATACAACTCCATATTGTTTCATGAAAGAATGCCATTTTGGATAAAAAATATTTTTAACTTTGAATTTACTTGTAATTATTGTTTCAAAATTTTTGACTATCTCAATATTTGAAGAAATTATAAAATAAAAATAATTACATATAAAGTATAATTTCATAATTAATTAAATATATTTGTGTATATTAAAACTTATTGTCAATTCTATAATTATAACACGTAAAATTCATGTATATATGCTGTGTTTGAACATGTGACCTACCCAACATACTATTCTAACTATTTTAACTTTAGCATATTATTTCTGAAGTTGCGAACACAATTATGTGATTATTTCTAGGTACCCATCTGTATATGTCTCCGGAACAACTTCAAGGTAGATCATACAGTTACAAAGTCGATATATTCTCACTGGGGCTTGTGTTATTTGAAATGCTTCATCCATTTGGAACTGACACCGAAAGGATCAAATGTCTGATGAATGCCAGATGTGGCAAATATCCACAGGATTTTGTCAGCGATTATCCCAATGAGGTGAAAATTTTATTAATATAAAAACTTTTAAGACATAAATTAGGGAATTTGACTTAAACTGAATGATATTAATCTATTTAACTAAAGTAAACTTATAAGAATTAAGAAGGTACATGCTATTGTTCTTTGTAATTTACAATTGTTTTCATATTTATTCGAAAAAAAAGGATCATGATTTAAACTGCAGTCATACAAGACATTCAAAGGCTTGATATATTGCACAAAATTTATCAAAAGTATGGATTTTTTACTTTTTTCAATACATAAACAATAAAATCAGTTCAATAGATTCCTAGTATGTAATAAAATACCAGAATGTTTATGAATATATAGTTATAAAGATCAGTAATGTTAAACAAATTATATATAAGGAGAAAATTGTTTAACTTTTATAAGAATTTCATAAATATTTATTATTACAGACCGAAGTGTTAAAACTAATGCTAAGTGAAGATCCCAACCAACGTCCCACAGCAAGAGGTGTGAGAGCTCGAGCTCCTTTATACCACTGTACAGATGAACATGTGACACAAAAAACACATTATGGTGTCAACCTTCCATAGTTACAGTAGACTATTATATAACTACAGTGTATATGAACCAGTGCTAAGTTTAAGTGTTATTTGTGCATATAATGTGATGTGTTAATGAAGACAAGGTAATGTGGCTTAAAAAGACTATTTCAATATTAGTTAAATAATTTTGTTCCTTATGTTTAGTAGTTTAAGAGTTAATATCGTATACCAATGATAAAGATGCTTCATAATCCATTGATGGCCTTGTAGTATGTAGTTGATTATGCAAAGAATATAATAAATATATATTTTAATTGTTACAGTATATATAGTAAAATATTTTTGGAATATTTGCTGTGCTATATAATATTGATTTTGTATGACTTAATTATAGTACACTTTTTTTACATCACATTAGGAAGTATATTAACTTGTTACATTTTTCGTTTTGTAGAATCTTTTTTTGATTATATATGTATAATGTATACTAGCAATATACAAAAAAAATTTTGACAAAAACTATAGACTCAGGACAGTTTACTTGGCTTTGAAATAATCCCTACTAATATTATAAATGCGAAAGTAACTCTGTCTGTCTGTTACGCTTTCACGCCTAAACCACTGAACTGATTTTAATGAAATTTGGTACAGAGATAGAGTTGACCTTCAGAAAAACAGGATAGTTTTTATCCCAGACTTTTGAAAGGTTCTCTTGGAAACGCGATATAACCGAACTCCACGCGGGCGAAGCTGCGGGCGGAAAGCTAGTTAAACAAATAATAGGAAATGTTTATTAGTACTAATATTGAATAACAGACATCACTTAAATCATGATATGTATTTTGGAAAACTATTTTAAGATTCATTTTATTTATCTTATATACACTTTAAAAATATCTCTGGCTGTAGTATTTTTAATTTCTTTCATCATAATAATTTATAGTCATAGATATAGGATAACTTGTTGAATTATGATTTTTAATTATCTTTAGTGTTAAGGAATGTTAAGCAAAACTAAAACCAAAATTTTTCTTTGAAAGAGTAAAGTGCATGGAAATGAACTTTTTGTGATTTCAATATTCCTTAAATACTCAAGGAATAATATTTAGACATAGAATATTAAATAAGGTAATTATAAAAGCCAGATATAAGAGGTTTTTAAGTTTGCTTTATTTGATGAAACTAAGCAATACTGTATTAATGGAATAAAGACTGGTGTTGGTGTTTAAATATATATGTATTTTTATATACTATCAAAAATCTAGTTACTACTTAAATATTTACATATATTATATTTGTATGTCCTTTTACTTTTTATTTGAATACAAAATATGAGTCAAAGTGATTTTTGAAGGTTTATTTTTAACAGTCATATTGTTTTAAGTTTTGTTTATTATGGAGATTGTGGAGATCTTTTAGAATAAATACATTTGATGGATAAAATGTGTCTTAATTTGTTTTTTGTCTGAGATTATTGGAGGTCTTTGACCTTGACTTATGTGATTTTGGGGGTGATTCAGAAAGTGTTGCTAAATGAATTTATTTAAATTTGTTCATGGTCTTACAAGCATTTTAAGTTGCCTTATATAAAAGCTTGAATATTAACAAGTGGTACAGCTTTTAAGGATAATAACAGAAAATATAAATGACTTCCAAAACAGGTTAATTTATATTAAGAAATATTCGTAGGCAAAAAAAGGCAGTTTTCATTAACATGTAACCTTTATTAAAATGGGCCTTCATAATGTTTTGAATAATTATAAAATCACAAATATAATACTTTAAAAGTAAACACACTGCTAAGTGTTATTAACTTCAGTGGAAGTTTTTTTATATATTAAATGATAATACATAACTTGGTCATTATATACATAAAGCTTAAAAATATCACATCAAAAGGTCAATATATATCTAAAATACTAGCATTATTCTTAACAAAATCATCATACAATATGTATGTATGTACACTGTAGAAATCCTTTTAAGCTCTGTTAAATGTGAGATATACATACATTTACCCCAAACATGAAGTATTAACTATAATGATTTATACAAAACAACTGTTCTAAGAGAAATAATTAAAATTATACTTATGTATAAGCAAATAAAACGAAACATTTTGATTGAATTCTACAAGCACCATAATAAATAAGGTAGGCATCAACAAATTAGTGTAAGCTTAAACAGTATTCTGGTAAAATTAGCTGTCACTACGTAACAAAAACATTAGATGCACTGACTAAAATAAAGCTTTGATTTATCATTTTAATATATTATTATATACAATTGTTTATACTGAGCTGATTTTATTGTCAACTTTTATTAAAACTGTGACTGCTATTGGTGTTTTGTAGGAAACTTGGTGTTTTACCTTCTTTAACGATCCTTAAAGCTTGCAAAACTCTTGATGTATCCAATTCTTTTTCTGACGCTTTTTCATTATCCAAACATATCTCGGTCATGCGTGCGTTGAATTGTTCTAGGACTTTCACTCTATAGTCTATGGTTGATGCGACAGGGTTTGCTGTTAACCATAGATATTCTAAACACGGCAGATTACAAATATGCTGTACTTCTTCAACATCAGTGATGACATTGCAGCTTAAATCCAAGCTTTCGAGTGAATATAGCTTTGAGAAGCCTTGCAGAGTTTCAATTTTATTTTGGGAGAGATCTATTTTGACTATGTTGCCGATTTTCGCATGCCAGTTCTCGCACAATGAAAAACGATTCATGGAAAGATTTAAAACTCTCAATTCGTGTAGACAAGATATATCACATAACTCGGACAATCTGTTTGAAGAAACATTCAGTTTTTGCAGTTTTGGAACTAGTTTGATGCCCCAATCCACATCTGTTATGTTGTTGGTGGCAAAATTAATTGTTGACAATTTCTTCCATATCTGGAAAATAAAAAATCGTTATGGAATGCTTATTATTTACTTAAAATTATAATTTCATTCAATATAAAGTATTTATTCAAATCAAAGTTATATACATGGATTTGAAAAAAATAGTGATATTCTCATAAAAAAAAGACCTTGAATAAAGTTAGTAGTTTTTGAGATAACCACATTTTTACATACAAAAATAGCTCTCTATTATGGAACTTAATAATTTTAATTCATTTAAATACAATAGATTATTGCAATATCACTTGAACACATAAAATGATAGTTGTACATGTGTAACCTATTTAATTATAATATTATACAAGCTAGTCTGTATAAACACGATCTCTGACTCATAATCATGACCTAATACTCAGATAACAGACACATGTATTTCTAGTTTGTGAAGATTATTAAGGAAAACTTTGTATGGGATTTATTTTATTATAATTATATATGAAATGTGAAAGTCTTTTGAACTAAAATTATAATTATGTAACAAAATTGTTAAAAAAAATAATTATGTTATATTTAAGGACAAAGGAAAAACTAAAACACTTATAAAATGACTATCATTCTTCATGAAATAAAAATTTGGTGAATGAAATCACATACCTATTATGGACACAGGCAAATAATAATAAATTTTATTATAACTAGGTACAGTAATACCCCGCTTAACGCGACCCCGTTGTGCACGGTTTGACTATAACACGAATTTCAAAAATTTATTCAGATTTGGACTTATTGCAGAGTATAGATAATAATGATGACCGCGCCTTTACCGTGTGTCAAACAATTAAAAACAGTGTTGGGTGTTATTAACTTATTTTACAAGAACGTAAAGAAAACGCTACCCAAAAGACAATATATGTATTTTTTCGTAAAAACTAGGTAGTACCTATGTATTGTATACTGTTCTTAGAACTATAGTGATTGATTAAAATGATTTTTATATTTGTGTATTAAATTTTGACTGTGTTTAATCATAAACCTCGATATACGCGAATTTCAATTAACGCGATTTTCTTCGGAACGTATCCCTCGCGTAAAGCGGGGTATTACTGTATATAAGATAATTTTTACTTACAACAACATCAGCAAGACTGGAAGGATCTTTGTGGAGTACATCCACAAGAAGGAATTCATTCAATGTCTCTACATTCGCTATATGTACAGATAAACTGATCAAAGAATCTCGGAGACTACCTGGAATTGATATAAATACTCTTTGTTAAAAAAAATTTAACCTTTTATTTATAACTGGCAGTCTAATTATATAACTGTTAACATGAAAAAAAAGGCTTATTATTATCATATATAATTAACTGATAACATAAGTTTATTGTTTATGATAATGTTCAATATTATTATGTAACTTATCATATGAGTGTTACTTACCGACGCTTTGTATACAAGTCATTGGCACACCGAGAATCCTAAGGTCGGTTAATGTTTTGAAGGGAATCAGATCTATGTGTAGGTCGTTGGGTATTATATTGCTTGTGCCCAATTTTTCATAGCTCCCTTCGATACTGAGTGATGAAACTTGAGAGCAGAAGTCTAGAATATGGCTGAAATCGTACATTTGATCTTGCTTTTCCGTTGGTGGACAGGCCATTTTATATCTCTCTCTGATAGCATGCAACTGAAAGAAGATATTAATATATCAAAAGTGTACTTGATATTGAAGATATTATCTATATTTGTTATATCTTTATTTTTTTATTTATCTATCAATTAAAGAGAAGAAGTATATATTACCTCCATTAGACTGAATTTATGAGTCTTTTCTGTTTGTAATAACTTGTCGCCCTCTAAATATAACTTCTTAGCCAAATCTTGCAATAAGAAAAATATATCATACAAATGGAAATCTAGAAAGTGGCTAAATATTGAAGGCATTGTTAGCCTTAGATAATTAAATACATTTTTCAGGTAATCGTTTAACGCTTCACGCCTCTGTTCCACAAATTTAGGCGTCTTGTTCCGTATGACTTTCTTAGGTGGCAGTAAATCTTTAGCAACGCCATGGTCAACCACTAATTTATCATGAAGCTCTACAAAATCACTGTACCGATGAGAGACGCTCCACTGCACTGTACCCACATTCACGAGGATTTTATAAAATGTTATATTATCTTTCAAGCATGCTTCAGAAATATTTACGGAACTTTCGTTACGATAATTTATGAAAGACGACATTTTCGTTCAGGGCAAGGTTATGATGATTGATTTGTTCCGCCGTGCATGACGCGGGGTTACGAATGAAGGCCCCCGAGATTGCAGTACGCAGCCGTAACTTAAATGAAAATAGAGGAAACTAGTTACCTACATTCGTAATACGACCTTTATTCAATCGTTTGCATGTCAATTGTCACTGTCTATTTATGATTGACTTTGACAGTTAATGACATTTGGTGTCTTAATATTCGTTTAAAAATACACGCATATAAATAAATATATTCTTATATAAATACAATAAACTATAAAAATTTTTTCATTTTTAATAATTTAAAAATATGCCTATATTTATTAATAATACATACCACTTAATAAGTTTTTTTATATTTTTTTTCTGTCTGAAACAAATAAGCCTAAAAATTATGTATATAAATAAAAATCACAATTTATAAACTGCAAGTTTCTTAAACCTTGTTAATTTATCAATTGTAGGAAACTAGAAAAACTAATAGGCATGACAAACCCGTGGCAAAAATTTTGAATTACTTACAGTTTACACTTTCCTACAGCAGTTTTCTATTGCCTATTCCTATAAATTAAAAGTTGCTGTAAGTTTTAGGACAATGAAATTAGAGTAGGTACTTTTTGGGCTGAAATTAACGTAGCTAAAATAAAGACCAAGCAAATCAGTGAAAAAAGTAAATGTCTAACATGTATGTGAAATCTTTTCCTTTGATCTTTACAATGTCAACAGCGGTTTCGTGTTATCAAAATAAAGACCCACTACACCTTACACTAACAATACTACAATTAACATTTTCTTATCGCCACTTAAATAAATATCAATTGTAAGAAATTTTAAAAACATAAATGGCCACTAATACTTTTATTCATTTTGATTTTTTTACATAGAAATATGTAATAGGTAATGCCTCATTTTATAGTCACAGAGTTTTTATGCTTAATATTGCACATTAAGGTAATAAGCCAAATAAAAACATTTTTATATTCACAACTTTATTTAAGTATGTATGTAGATGTATAAAATTTATAATACATTAAATTGTGCAAATAATTTTCGCGAATCCCTTGGAGAATTTAGTTTTACTAAGAAAATTATGAATGCGTTCAATTTAGATTCAATCCATATTTCCGCATTTTTATTAAAATACCAATCAAAATATGATAGAATATTATAAAATACAATAAAATATACATAACGTACCAAGAAAATTATTAGGAACTCAATAGACAATTAAAAAAAATCTAACAAAGTTCTTTAAAATATTTATAAATATAATAATAATCTCAAAAATATTACAAATATTTGACCATTTAAGATACATTCGTATTCAAAATCCAATATACATGTTTCTGAACGTAAATAGAAATAACTGCGTTGATTAAAAAATGCTGTATTTGTACAAAATATAACGAAGGACATTCGCTTTAGTGTAACGTGAATTTTATTATAAAAAGCTTTAATAAAATATATATTAGATCCCTTGGACGGATGCGGACGATAAATGTTTATATTATTAAAAATTTTGCGCTTTCCCATACAAATGTTGACAAAAAATATTCACATTTTAAATTTAGAACGTTATTTAATATAATAAACAATATCTATATAAAAATGGCGCGAAATAATATTCGTTGCACGAACATAAGATGATATATTACAAAACAAAACATGTCACAAAAATAAAATCCTAATATATATGTATTGATATTATATTAAAAATAAATGAATATATAAGTTAGATATTTAAAACTTACATGGCTACATTAAAATTCAGAAATAACATCCCGATACTAACTATACTAAAATTCTAATAAAAATATTGTAAATATTTAATAAATTATGATCCAATTATTTTTTTTTGAACATCATAAAATCACAGTTCAAAATTACATTCATGGCATTTATTATTAAAATTATATTTCTTTTCAACTACGCATATCGAACGAATTATGTACTTAGATATTAAGTAAGTAACCTAAGCTAGTTCAAAGTTCACCTATACATAAAATTAATTGACTAAAATAAAATCGCAACACCTATATATTGTATTGTTCATTTTTTTTAATTTAATCTATTTACATTAGACGCAAGTGTCAGAAATGACGTTACTCTTTTTTAAGCCGGAGGCAAAGGCCAACAGTCATAATGCCACGGATCGTATGTATGTATCGTTTTCGTAGACATCGGCTGTAAGACGTAAGGCATGTTCCTCGCATATAGCCGATAGTTCCTTCAACCATTCGTCTAATATTACCGCGTTAAGTATTGATCTTAGCGTAATTGATTGATTCCAGTACACTTCTTGGGTGAAAATTGGTCGCTTCTGTGTTGGTGTCACGTTGCTTGTATGTTGTAAGCTGTTTGAGTTCTGTTGTGATGGTGATACTGTAAAAAAATTTTATTGAAGTGAATTTTGTTAGGCGACTATCAAAAAGGTTGCGTTAGATTTTAACGCTCCTGGGTGAGGGAATAAATAAAACATGTGGGCAATCAATTGTGACTTGTAAGTAAAAATGCCTTTAAAATGTTTTCATTCTAAATTCTAATATTACGAAGTTTCACCTGTTCGCGGAATGACTGCACGCAACATTATTTTTTTAAATTAAGTTTCTCGAGTATTAATTTCAATAAAACTAAGATTTTCGGATATACTAGGAATTTTTAATTATTTTAAAACTACATACTCCCGATTGAAAAACTTTTCATCTCGTCTGTCTGTGATCACGGTTGCAAAGTAACCGAACCGTCGGGAGTTTGTAGTCAAAATAATAAAAAACACTTAGTACATCCAAAAATTTTATTTTAATATAATTATTTTGTTTTTAAAGCAATGTATATATTTACCGTTTGTCTTCCTGTTGAACATGCTGCTGAAGCTAGACGAGATGCTTCGTCTCTTGACCTCAACTCGTCGGAAAGGCGACTCGTCTCTTTGTGTTGCTGAATTTGATTTCGACTGTCCTGTGAACAAATATAATAATATTATTCTAATCTTATTTCTGCTTAATTTATTTAATTAATGATAACAAAGTACTAATATAAATATAAGCTAAGCTATAATATAAGCTATAATCGGGTCGAGTTATTAGTCTTTCGATATATAAAAAATAAATATATAACAACAATTTTGTTTTCAAGTATCGGATAGTATTTGTAACAATTGTAAATAATATTGCATATCAAATCTATACTAATATTATAAAGCTGAAGAGTTTGTTTGTTTGTTTGAAAGCGCTAATCTCCGAAACTACTGGTTCGAATTGAATAATTCTTTTTGTGTTGGATAGTCCAGTTATCGAGGAAGGCTGTAGGCTATATAACATCACGCTACGACCAATAGGAGCAAAGATATAGTGGTAAATGTGTAAAAAACGGGAGAAATTATTTCATCTTTGAAGCCTTCCGTTGCGTGCGCCGTGAAAACGGTTGAAGATACATAAAAAATATACAACGTGTAACATAATTAACGCACACCCTGAAAGTAGTTTGATCAGAATCGGATACTGGATCGATTTTGATAGTTTTTTATGTAGGTCATTTTTTTTCTCAAATTTAGATAGAACTAAGTAAATTATAGTCACCCTACACACAGTTATCTAAACACTTCATAGAAACGAAAATTAATGGAAACGAAAATGGATCGTAAGTCAGGGTATTAAGATTTTTAAAATGAAATATTTAATTAGTAATCATCATTCAATTAAAGAAAACTGATACTTATTTCAAGGCTAAAATAGTATTTAATAATAACTACGCACGCAACACCATAGCGACAACCGGCACACAGCAAGGTCACTACAGTTCATAAAAGAAAGCCGCGTAATACAAAAATTATTACTTTCTCCTTCTTTCTTCGGCTTAATAACATTACAATAGAGCGAGACGGCAGGCATAATTCCGGGAATCAGAGTAATAATAACTAAACATCGAAGTCAACAAAATGTGTTTTGGGTTAGTTACGCCGCGTCCACCTTATCGAAAAGAGGTCAAGTGTAAAGTGCAAATAAAATCTCAGTCGCGCATTTCGCTGTGTCGTTTCGGTACACTAACATTCAATACATCAAGTACCTACGCACGTGTCCATTGACCTCCTAGATCAGCTGATTTGACGCGACTCGACTTTTTTTTGTGGGGGCGAATTAAATCGCTAGTTTATAACACAGAGATAACAAGTGCCGAGGAACTAAAAAATAAGATAATAACCGCCTTTGTAAAAGTGAAAAGTGACATTGCAGTATTATCTAAAATAAAACCACAATTGCGAAAACGGTCATTAAAGTGCATGGAACAAGGCGGTGGACATTTTGAAAATGTTTTAAAACGACAACGCTGTGCGAGTGCAAATTAAACTGTAAGTTTGTTTATGATCTTTAAATTATTGTAAATATTTTGATACACACCATTTAAACAGGCCGACTGTGTTTAACTTTGTCGTAGGTATTGTGGTGTCTATTCAAATCACGCGTTATCAGCTGTTTAATAATTCTTATTTACAAATTTAATTTAACAAATCAGTAATTATAAAATATTGGCTTCACATTAAAAATAAAATTCAATGTCAACAATCTAAAGCTTGAAAAGTGTGATGGAAAGAAAAATCATAATGTATGTAGTTATTACGTGTACTTATTATTACCTACTTCTTATTATTGTCGGACGGCACTCGGAGAGAGGGGCGCGGGCGCGGCGAGTACAGAGTGTCGCTGAATAGCGGACCATATTATTTGCACGAAATTGGGATAACTAATTTCACAAATAAAAAATTCAAACGCACATATAAATAATATTTGGTGTATGCATTGCGTTTATATCATTATATACGCATTGGGGTATTTGAGGGTGTGCGTTAATTACGTTACACGTTGTATATTGAAGAATAATAGCTCTTTTAATGATCTAAAAAACAGTGCGCGACAGTATATGTCTATCTTTTAAGATTAACTCACAAAAACCGTTTTTATGGTACCTAATTTGGTCGAAATAATTTGTTTAAGTTGTATCAACATAATAATATTAATCTTTATTCAAATAAACAAATAAATATGTTGTTGCTTAAGAATACTTCATTGTGAATTTAAAAAAAAACATAGGTTTTATCTTGAAAACTCTACGGGAACTCGACCGTTCCGAAAACCCCGCAAGAACGGCAACTATGTGGGAAGAACCAAAAATCTGCCAGAAGTTACTATTCCACGCGGACGAAGTCGCGGCAAAAGCTAGTGAATATATATAAGGTCTTTTATTCTTCATTTAATTTAATAATTACACTTACTATAATTTATTATCTATGGTAGCACCACTTTTTACTCTGCATTCATTATATATTTTAATCTGCAGAAAAAGGCTCTCTGGTTTTGTACATTTAAGTTTAACAAGATTTTTGAAAAGAAATAACGATTGTTTAAAATATAAATTGAAGCAATAGCTTTTAATGTTGTTTTTCTTTACAGGTTAGTATATAATATAATGTTAATTTGTACTAGATATATAGGTAGTCGTAAATTGTATTTGCAAATATTGTATCAAACTTTCAAAAATAAATTTCTCTTTACAGAGCAACAATTACAGTTTTTTTGTTTCAATTAACAACATACTACATACCTTCATGTTTCTGCGGTCGCCTCGTCAGCGCCATCTCTCGGTGTATTAGAAACACTCGCGCCTTATCAACTAACTCACCGACGTTATCAAGACCCGATGTTAGTTCGTCTAGCTCTTGTTTTAAACGACTCAGGATCTAGAATTAAAGTTGCCATACGTTAGAATAATGAAAATAGTTGCCATATATGAAAAGTTTTAATTTATAGTAAATTTATTGTATCTTATTGTTCTAACTATGAGATGTTATAGTCATAATATAATCAATTAAATCACAAATTTAAAAAAATATATTTTTTTTAATTACAAAAGCAAATAAGACTCTTTGATGGTGTATTTTTATATATTTATTTTCTTACTTGGAACAGATTATTATCTTACTTAGGCAGACCCTGGCCGAACCTGGGATATTGCCAGGTAGAAGAAGATCTTACTTGGAACAATGATGGTACGTTTGGTTGCAACAGGAACCCGGGACAAAGAAGTAGCGCTGATAGTATCGGCGTGGGGAAAGAGGCTAGTTTGCTTAACACACTTGATACACGACACGCAATAGCTACTTCAGATTCTAGGAAACTCGCTGACTTACGAAGAAGACTGGCTAGAAGAGGACCTAGAAAGATATTAAGGAATTAGTTGTTACGTCACGAGTCAAGGTCTTAGGTAGAAATATTGAATAAAATTTGAAGCTTTTGTTCCCGAGTGGGAGAGAGACGGAAAGTATAGCTCGTCTTATTAACTTAATATTGATATTAAGTTTATATGATGTGATATATTTTCTGTCTCTCTCTCACACACACTATATATATATATATATATATATATATATATATATATATATATATATATATATATATATATATATATATATACTAGTCAAAATAAAATAAGGGCCACCATGTTTTTTTAGTGGATTAAAAGAAATATGGCATTTAGGGATATGAAAATGATTAGATTAAATTATTTAATCAATTTTTAATGTAAAGAGCAGCAGATATTGTTTTATTTCTCTAAAATTAACATCCATTTCTTTTTTTTTGGAAAAATCGACTTTTTAACCTAAAATGCACAATATAAAAAAAGTGTCTAATTTAAAAAAAACTGAACATTTGTTGAAATTTTTATTTTTTTTCAGTAACGTGTGTGTCTTCCCTTTTTTCGAACACATTCTTCAAGCCTCAAAGGCATACTCTCCACCAGGTGTCGTATTGTCTCCTGAGGGATTTGTTCCCAGCTTGTCTTTAGCACGATGATGAGCTGTCGTTCGTTAGTTACCGGTTGATTTATGTCACGAACTCTTTTTTTAAATAAATCCCACATGTGCTTAATAGGGTTAAGGTCCGGGTTATTGGTGGGCCACGGAAACACCTGTACACCAGCTTCTTCTAGTGCTTCGGCAGTAGCTCTATCTGTATGAGCGCGGGCATTGTCATGCATTAATTGGAATCCTGCACCAATTCTCTATGAAAATGACACCACGTGGAGTCTTATGACCTGCCTAATGTACCGTTGAGCCGTTATCGTGCCTTCGTTGAGAATTACGAGCTCGGTTCGACCCTACAGTGAGATTCTGCCCCATACCATTACGTTGGGACCCCCGAATCTGTCACTTTCGTGGATGCAAGCATCCGAAAATCGCTCTCCTTCTCTTCTCCAAACTCTAATGCGACGATCATGACTAAAAAATTTCACTTTGGATTCATCTGTGAACAATACCTTGCTGCAGTCATCAATGTTCCAGGCCTGGTGCTGCCTAGTGAACGTTAATCGCCTTGCACGATGTACGTATGTCAGTGGAATTCGCACTACTCGTTATCTAGAGAACTGTTGGTCTTCATGCAACCGACTCCTAATCGTTTGGTCACTTACGCGGGTGCCCGTCGCTCAGCGCAAGCGGTTTTGTAAGGAACGGGCGGTGACGACTCGCTCTCTGCGCGCAGTTAACCGTATGTAGCGGTCTTCCTGTGCTGTGGTTGCTTGACTCCTGCTTGATCCTGGTCTTCTGGTAACTCTCCCAGTCTCTTGAAACCTAATCCAAGCATTCTGGATTTCTCGCTGTGGAAAACCCAGCTGCAGAGCTACAGAACGCTGCGAATGGCCCTGTTGAATCAGCGTTATGGCCATAGTTGTGATCTGTATGTCCATATGTCTTCGAATCCTCGGCATTGTTCTTTAAAAATGATAATCACGCACTAACAAAGAGAATTCCTGCTGTTCACCAAGAACTCGACAGTTTAAATGACTCCAAAAGTCGACTTCAAATAGAGTCATTTTTAGTGACTTCGAAAAAAAAATTCATAATCGACCCACTTCAAAAATTAAGTAAGTGATAAACACTTATAATGTTTGTCAACACTTAATGTAACGCCACAAAAAAACTTAACCGGTACCGATAGCTTAAAATTTATTAGATCGCTTCAAAAGTCAAAATAAACAAGTGGCCCTTATTTTGTTTTATTATATATATATATATATATATTTAAGAGTTCCTTTACGTTAACATACGTAAATCTATCATTAGTTCTATTTCATGTTGAACACTGTTTATGTTAGTCGGTAAAATATTTACAAATATAAATAACTGTTTGAATCAATTGAAAACTTCTTCGTATAATCTTTTGATTAACGTATACATCCAAACAAAATTAGTATATTTTGCTTATAGTCTAAATTCACAGTTAATGCAAAATATAAAATTGCGTCATGACTTCATTAATTTTGCATAAAGTTGAAGGCTAAAAACCAAAATTATCTCACCAAAATATTATTACCAAAAACATCAAATAAAATGTTTTTCTCCGAAGTCAAACAAAAATACTGTTATCATTCAAGGAAATAATATTCTTACCGATAATTGTTTCGGCGCTGACCCTCCAACTTTTCACTGGTTCTTCGTACTCCCTCACTTCTTTCTTCACACTCACAATACTCTTCTTGAACGAATCCTCTGAAAAGCCTTCATCATCCTGATCGTCCAGTTTATATAGGAAGCTATCATAACCACTACTTTCTCCCATAGAGGTCAAGCTATCTTGGTCTTTAATTTCATTATTATCACTTTTGTTCTCAACAACTTCGTTTAATGAGCCAAGGCTGTGAGCTTCTTTTTCTGACGTATCACTGTTCTTGAGAGTGTCATAGCCACTGGTTAGGCTGTCCTGCTCTCTCATATGCGCTCCAGCATCTATCTCTTTCGTTACTTTCGTATTATTATTTGTTTCTCGTTTAGGGATTACACTATCGTATTTGTTCGTCCAATTAGCGCACGCTATCGTCCTAGATACTATTTCGAATCTAGCATCACAGAGATACGCGTGGTAGTTACTGAAGAGAGTTTCGTTTGGATTCTGGAAATAGTAATTTTAATTTAATATATGTGTACGAGTTACGCTCGACATAATTGCGGAATCATGTAAATACACACATCATCATTTTTGTTTCATTGCAAAATTACGAAATACTGTAAATGCACTCATCATCATTCTTGTTCTATTATAAAATCTCAAAATCAATCTCAAAAACTTATAATTTAATTCGCATTCGGTCACTAAGTATACCGGGCGTTTTCATCAATCAATCAATCATATATATTATAATATTATATGAAATTAATCAAACTAAGAAGCATTATCAATTTATATCATTTTACTAAGTGTAAGAGCGACCAAGTTCCCGTACTTTATGATAAGCAAGGATAGTTAAATAGAGAATATGTAACTTACACCGTAGTCAAAATTAACTTCTTGGACGAGATTGTTCATTGCAATATCTCCGTGGACGCCGTTGACTCTTCCGTTATCACCATCACATTTAAAATCCAATATCCTTCTTCCACTCATAGCTAGTTCGTCAACCCATTCTCTTGTTTTCCGTACTGATCTCATACAACAATTCGGACTTAGACCAAGAAAAGCAACCGCAGCCTCTCTATAAGGCTCTGGGTCAGTCAGCTTGCTTCTATACGCAGCTAATAAATGATTTCCGCTCAATAGATATTTATATACAAGCTCGATCATAACGTCTTCTGTATTAAGATCTATTAGAGTTTCCATTAGTGATAGCGTTACTAACGACAACTGAAACATAAAAACGATTGCATTAAGTAATAATTGTTAATACCATCAAATTTTCTACAATCCTTTAAACGGAGTATTTATAACGGATTTTAATAAAACTATTACAACCGCAAGGTCATGAACCAAAAAAAGTTTAGGGGATAAATGAGAAATAAAAATATACAGGGTGACTGGTGAATTACTATCAATATTTAAGAAGAATACTCGGTACATGATTCTCATACGAATTATGTAAAAAAATAGGTACTTAATTTTTGACCAAATTTCCGTATAAATAAATAAAGTGTGGACACGTTCCAAGTGTTCCAAGTGTGGACGCGTGCGGCGGCGTGCTGATACAACACCACGCCGCCGCACGCGTGTTTGTGTGTGTGTGTGTATACCTAATCTGTAGGGTGTTCACACGATGCGTCATTAATTACATAACTTTTGGTTAACTTTACTTAGAAGTTTATTAATATTTATGTTATATTAATTTTTATTTTGTCATATATGATCGTCAAATATCACGTCCTCAAGTATCGATAGTAATTCACCAGTCACCCTGCATACATTTGTTTGAAATAATAATCAATTTGTTTCCACTCACTTGCGAATTTCCCTCCAACCTTCCAAGCAATACATCCATAACTTTAACTCCGTCGTATTCATATGTGAATAGATAATGCAGTATGACCCTTAAAAGGCCTCCAGATGTGACACATCTCAGTAGAAGCTCCAAATAAGCCATCGCCGTCGCTTGTTCAACCGCACCGCTCTGTAAGGAATCCGCTTTCTTCTATCCGTTTCACGAAGAACGCGGTTTAGTGACAGTTATAGGACTGGATATAGGTTTTGGATAAATAGTAAAAAATATTAAATTGGACAAAAATAAATAGGGAAGAGTTATTCAGTTTTATTTGTAATGCTTTGCAAAAAAGAAATAATGATCATTAGTTATCTGTGCTAGTATTAAATGAAGCGTAAATCAAACTGTGCTACTTGTTAGTTGAAATTTTAAATTATCTAAGTTTTATTATAACACACTTATAATTTTAGGTAAATGGTGCTTATTATATTGCAAAAATCTCGATGATCACCAAATATAAAATGATCCCAGAAGCATGAATTAATTTAAAGCCTAAACGGAAAGCAAAAACGACAAATGAAAAGGGACTTTAGGATGTACAACAAAAGGTTTAAAACACACTGTCACTGAACCAAACCTGGCGTGTGGTAGAAATAGTTCAGTCGTTCAGTCCATAACCATTCGTGAAACAGTGAGAATGATTAATTTAACACATAAATACACATTATAACATTTGAATAGAACAGCCATAATAATTTTACATATATAATTTCATATATTTGTTAGTATGTGTGATATATCTGGCTTTTTTAACATACTCATTATACAACTACTACTCATAAATTTAAATACAATACAGATAAATAATTTAAGAAGATTTCAAACTTTAAAAAATTAGACTTTTTGTTATCTGTTTATAATTTCAATGTTAAAACTCATCTTGGATAATAAAAAACTATATGAGAGCTCAGTATAAAAGTATATAATATATTATGAATCCCATTTGAGAATATCCCATGCATATTCCATAAACCATGATCAAACCCAATAACTTAAATACAAAGAGCATACCACTAAAGAAATTTTAAGAAAATATTTCACATAAAAATAACATGTTTAGTGGAATGGTCTATGGTATTTAAATTTGTATGAAACCCATATATTTGTAAAAGATTAAGTGTCACCTGTAATAATGCGGGACCCATGACGGGCACTAAGAAACCTTGGTAAAGCAAATCTAATAGATGTCTCTTTATTGATGGGTGTGCAACCTGAAAAAAATATATAAATATCAGAAAAAAATACTAAATTCCAAACAGAATTAACATGAATTAAGGATATTTTTCTATCCATATTAATTAGGACTATAGGAAGGGATTATAACAAAAAAAATGAAACACGTTAAAATATCGAAAACGACCTCGAAATCGGTTCAGCATTTTTTAATAGAACAGCGATCAAACCATCTTCTAACAATAACATTCATTACTTAAAGTCGGTTAAAATGTACAGTGTGCAACACAGATTGAGTTATATTGCCTTACCTGAGCCACGGCATTGCAAAACTCCAATGAGTCAATAAATAATGTTAACTTGTGTACTCTGTTCACGTCATCTGGTAGCAGGCGAGCGACGCATAAAGACCTCGGCAATAAGGAGTACAAACCGCTTAGACCTGGAGACATTAGCGAATAATTATATTATAGGAATGTTCCTAAGTAATAAATTATCAAGGCTAACATTAATATCAATTAATAAGGTAGTATAAGTAATTAAGGATCAATAGACAAAGATTTTTAAAGAAAAATATATTACAGAAATGTTCCTGTCTAATAAATTAATACCACTATCAACATTAATATCAATTGATAAGGTAGTAGAAGTTAATAGGGATAAATAGACAAACATTTAGTAATACTATCAGAAAGAAAATAATATCATTAGTTTTTTTGGGGATTTGAGTGTCGTTCACTATCTCTACTGAGCAGTAAAATTACTTGGAAAACTAGCAATATTGTGAAGTTTATGGAATTTTAGATTCCAATAAAAAAAGGTTAGAATATGAGATCACCTTTATAGAATTTGATTTTTAATTTAACAATTGTCACAACAAAGATTTGTACAGTAGAAAAGTATTAAAAATATGTATTTAACATATAATTATTATTATAGAGTAAATAATAAGTTACATACTCTTTTGTTTTTTTGTATGTTTAAAGGCCTGATGACAAAAAAAAAATCATGAATGATAAACACTTAGTGCACTTTTATATATATATAAATTTTAAATATTATTCAGACATTTTAGTTAATGTGAAAGACATGAAAAGAAATACTTTTGGTTGAGAAGGAAAATATAAGGCCATGGCTACACTGAATTATATTCTTTATACCTTTTGAATATTATGGCTAATATGAAGTATTATACTCACCAGTGGCTAGTATAGGGCAAGCATTCCCAGCCAGTAGACAATGTGCCAATGGCGGGCAACTGGCTGACATTTTGGCGCACAGAAGAAACGCGTCCCTCGCTTCTGAACCGGCCGGACCCTCGCGATGAACGCAACATAACAGAAGACGACCTATTATAAATCTGAAATGAAAATTTGTATATTACAGGCCATTTTTTAAAAGTAATTTTTAAGTATTTTTTTGTTTAATGTATAGTATCTCTGTTAATTTAATTAATACATTAATGTAATGCTAATTTTTGATATTTTCTCGGGATATATATTAACAGGTTTTATTATTGTTGTATTTATAATGTATAAAATTGTACTTTATATGTATTAGTATTTTTAAGAAAATTTTATTGCATAATGTGTATCTGACGTAATTGGTTATTAATAGTTTTAACGTTTCACAAACTTTTACTTTATCTTTATTTCTTCCACTTGTGAAACATTTTTTTTTCTATAATATACTAAAGTCTCATTTAATCTATTCTAGTTTATTTAAAAACTAGAAAATATTTTACAGTGAAGAAATGTTCAGAATTAAAATATAACCATCCAACATTAAATCCTTGCAATTTATTATTAATAATATTATATTTATAATATAATTCAGTACTGTAATTGGTTACATAGACAATAAGAGTATATCATAGATAATAAATTGTACTCACTCAGCCTGGGAACCATTTTTAGTCTGTGTCATCAGGAAGAATAGGTCTATGAGTTTCATATTCTGCATCAGCACCACACATAGTTGATTAAGTAGAGACACTAATTGACCTACAAATAAATATAATAATTATTCATAGATAAATTAATTAATTGGTAAAAGAATACAATTAAGAAAATTGCTGAATAAGTTATGATTATTTTTCTTACTTTCGAGATTAGCTGGTAGTAATTCGTTCCGAAAACTGCTGAGCAATTTCAGTAACGGTCGAAGAAATGGTTCAGCAGCTATAACCTGTAAAATATATATATTTAAATTACTGTGGAGTAATGAAAAGACTATTGTTTCATAGTGCAGTATCTGTGTGATTATATAGAGCTACCACTTAAATATTAGATTTGGAGAATTCTTCAATATTGAAATGTTAGTTAAAAAAGTTCTTTTTAATTAAAATACTAATATTTTGATACTGTCATGTGATAAGTTTTATGATTGAATGAGTGAACTGCTGATTAATTCGGTCAGTCATCATCATTCATTCAGTTTAAAGATAGAAACTCGAGTCTTGTACTGTTTCAAATGGTCGTTTCAGTTTGGTTTTTCACATTATTTAGTTTTAAGTCTGATTATTTGTTTCAATGTATGTTATTTATAACTATATAAAAGGCCAAAAAAAACCTCTAGATATACCTTGATTTTTAAACAAAATCGTTTAAATGATTATTCATTGGAAAGAAAATAATTTACAAAAAAGAGTAACATTATGTTTGAGAAAACATTTGTCTTGTACTTTCTTTAAAGTCTGTAATAGTTATAAGGAAGCAGGTTTTATATAAAAGTTTCATTACCTGTGAATTATAATGCGTAACCAAATTCCCGAAAAGCCTCAACTGTTCTAAACGAACAGCGTTTTCGTATCTAGAAATAAAAAAATACATATATCAATTTTATATTCAGGTCATAGTATTTACTACAACTAAATATTAGTTATCTTATTACAAAGAAACATAACAGTATTAGACAGACGGTGAAGGAAAACATCGTGAGGAAACCTGGACTTATAATTTCAAATTATAAGTTTGAAATCACCAACCCGTCTTGAGTAAGCGTGGTGATTAATGCTCAAACCTTCTCCATGTGAGAAGAGGCCTTTGCTCAGCAGTGGGCTCTGATATGCTGATGACGATTACATTAATATGGAACTATGATTTTTTTTTTCAATTCATTAATGGTAATATTCATACAGAAGATTGATAAAGAAAAAAATAATAATATCAAATATTAATATGGGTTTATCATATCTCATTGACTGATATAATTTTTAATATGTATATAAATAACCCATTTCATTCTTGCGATATACTGATAAAATTAATTATGAATCTAGTTATCCTGTATTATTTATTAATGTTGGCAATATTTTCATATGTTCTAATCCTCAATTAATGTTGGCAACACTTTATTGTTTCATAAACCCTGGTATTTTTAATTTGATTTAGATCTTGAATTTCTATGTAAAAATACTTCTAGAAATGTTTCTTCTATTAAAATCTATCATTTATAATTATAGTGGCATCTTCTTGTCATGGTTGTAAACAATATTTATGTTCTTAATTTAAAAAAAAAGATTCCTTTTTAACAAATGGTTTGAAACGAAGATTTTACTTCATATTTATTCATAATAACAGATAGATTTATACAAATTATATGTATTAAAAATTTATTTATAAATTTTATACTAACAACACTGTTTATGTAAAAAATTTGCAGATTTTGAAACCATAGTAAATATATATAGAAACAATATGACTAGTATTAATATGTCATAACAATATAAATTAATTATATATAATCAGATAATGATTTTAAAGCAAATGTTATTATACACAATGACAATAAAAGGCTTCATTATCTCAGTTCACAATTATGTGACATAGAAAACTAGAACAAAGGAAGAAGTGATAAGATTATTAAACAAGAATAAATTTAACTAAATAGAACCGCATAAAAAAAATACTTTTTTTGTATAAATTCTTATTTTAACAATGGTATAAATATCCATTGCAAGTAGCATTGTTCTTTTTTTATTATATTTATGTTTGCATTAATAAAATACAGTTTGGACTAAGTTGGTAAACAATATAATATAGTTATATATTACATACTTAAATATCAGATAATATAAAAATATAAGTTTTATGGACATTTAAAATAACCTTTATAATATTAACCAATAGGCTCTGTTGTTTACGGTATGGTGTGTTTATGGTTTGTCATACAGGTAAAAATTAAGAAGGTTTTATATATAAAATAAGGAAAAATCTTAATACTTTTGTCATTGAAACTAAATAAGCTACAATACTGGTCACTTGTGGTTAACCACATTTCAAGTTAAAATGAGCTTTATCTAATAGGCTATAATAATTTTATATAACACATAGAATTGGTAGAAAATATATGTCGCAAATTAATATTGCACATGCATTCTCAATGTACAAATTGATTGAACGTATATTGATAACAGTAATCAATTTGTTCGACAATTAAATGTTCATGTTGTGTCTTGAATACTAATGAGTTTATAATAGTACTATACATACCATACAAAGAATATATATTCTACTTATTCCAAAGAGGTTTCATTACGTTTTAACATGATAACTTTTTTTTTTATAGATATTTAATATACTCACTTGCCAGTACTAACGGCCCATTCATATAATTTATCAAGGAGGTTCTCGCTAAGGAGGTATTCAAGGCATGATGCGGGGCTTGACATATGACTTATTTCCCTTGCCTTAGCTTCAAGTACAAGCAGGGTTGTCAGCTGTTCTAAGTGATTGACCACTCCCAGTACATCATCATGAAGATGTTGAGGCTGGAAAGTAATATATAGATTATTTAAGTCTAATTAACATTTATATAGGTAAACAACATTTTAAGAGTACAAATACGATAGTACAAATCTGCGTAAATTCCTTTCGATAATTTGACATATCTACATTTTATACATACAAATTAACGACTTTTAAGGTAATTTTTCACAATTAGTAATTAATTGAACAATAAGTAACAAGTAATTGTGAAAAAAATACCTTAAGTCGTTAATATAGCCAATATTTCAGCTCAAACTATGTTGTGATAATCTGCTTCCAATGTAGATATGCAGAATTATCCAATGTTAGCCATCAGACTTGCACTATCCCCGACAATATATGATTAACTCTTACCTGTGATTTGACTATAATTTCATGAGCTTGCTGCCAGTGCTTGCAAAATGAGTTATAGCAAGCATGAGGCTCGTAATCATGACGAGGGTCTAGAGTTTTGGACAACTGTCTTGCAAATGTTAGCGATGTGCTGCGCAACCAACTCATTTTGATAACTTATTTCACTGTCATCTAGAAAAGAATATTATATACACTTGTATAACTAATGTTTTAAAATGATATTACTTTAGCTGTTAGATTATGCTTATTTATAAAACATTTGGTTAGTTTTAGTCTTGATATAAGTAGTATATATCTTACAAACAAAGACCAATTTCAATTGGTTTATATTTGTACTTTCACTATTTGCAATAACAGTAACATTTGTACCGTCAGAGAATGAGATAAAATCTGTGTGAAGATGATCACAATGAATACGAAATAGTGAAATCTTATTTTTTATTAACTGTTTAATTAAATGAAATTAAAATAACATTATAATAATATCAATAAGCCTATGTTGTGGGTAAAAACGTTAATTATGACTTAAGTTATGAAAACTCTATAAAAGGACATTTGAAATATAAGAAGTAAAGGACACAGACCTTGACATTACAAAGGCATTAGATGGAGTTAAGAAAATACCCAGATGCTGTGCGAAAACCAATGTAAATATTATTTTAAACACATGCATATAATTAATACTTCACGTACGATAAACAAGAGATGGAGTTCGAAAATAGATTCTGCAATTTGCACCAATAAAAAACAGCACAAAAGCACGGAGTTACATGATACGCAATTTCTACGAAGAGTCGAACTCGTGATCACTGATTTAAGAGGGTTTTTAGTTACTCTTCAACCAATAAAACACATTTCTTCTGTTTATATAAATGTTATGTATAGTTTTTAACTTAAAAATTTTAGCTAATCACAAATAAAAACGAAAACGATATAGAAAAAAGGCAAAACAACCGTACTTGAATATGACAATTGACAAATGACATCACTATGTAATAGACATTGACAGACTTACTACCAATACGTAACTAAGTTTTTTTTATAAAGTCTTACACTACAATATTATGCACACATCCAAGAACACTTATTAACAAAAGAACAAGTTTTTTTTTGCAGATCTATGTGTATTTTTTTTATTTATAAGAAATATGATATATATAGAGATGGTGTAAAATAAATTAAAATATTATCCACCATACATTTCTTGAATATTGGCTAAAAATTTATTCATCAACATTTTAATTTGTAACAAAAAAAAATATTTAAATTTGATTTAGTATTGTCAAATTACAATAAAAATATTTGTATATTTTTACAATATTTTATCATAAGTTACAAAGTTCACAATGAAACCGAAGAAATGTAATACTGTGTCAGAATTGAAGAGAATTTCAGGTAATTCCGTGAAATCACGGGACAGATCTCAGAAAAGTGAAAATCCTACTCCAAGACAGTTTGACCAATTTCTTCCATGGCTTTGTCAGCAAATGCACATTTGTCCACATGTGGCTGTTGAAAGAATTACGAAGGGTAATTTTAATGAAATCGGAAAATGGAATTTAAATTGGTTAAAAAAATATATTTTATCCAATGAAACTAATTTGTATATTTTTCAGAAAAAACTGTATCTCTTGGACGTAGAGGGCGTCAGTTATCAAAATCAAAATCAATAATTAGCACAATTCAATCTGCGTTGGATTTTACTAAAATTCCAAATGATTCTTTATCTTTAAGTACTGCAGGTTCAGTTTGTTATAATGAAAATACAATTGTTATAAAAACATATTACAACAACTGCAATCAATTAATTGAATTGGCAATAGTAGACTGCCCTGTAACAATAAATAGAAAAGTTATACAAGCAATTAGTCTTTGTATACCTTTTCATTATTACCTTAAGAAATTTAGAATAAATGGAAAAGGGCTTACAGAATCAGTGCTTTACGAAATCGGAAAGCTTCTACCTCATTCAAATATGACAGACATTTGTTTGGATGACACTTACCTCCCAGAAGGGAATTATTACGTTTTACTAGATAAATTGAATAATTTGCAAAACCTATCTCTATGCAGATGTAAAATTAACGATGATGTATGCAAGAAGATAGCAGAAAAATTGTACAACGAAATGCCAGCTTCGAATACCCTAATGACTTTAGACTTCACTTCAAATAATATTACAAACTTGGGCGCTAAGCACTTAGGATTGATGTTGAGGCAAAATAGAACTCTGCTTTATTTAGGCTTAGCAGATAATTTATTAGATGACATTGGAGCTTCGCATATATTAAAACCCTTAATGATATTTTCTCTTACGGAAGATGAGGTGTATGAGTTAAGGAAAAGGAAATTTAGATACGCAGCAAAAAAGTTGGAAATATGTAAGGAGCATGAGAAGCAATTACTTGCACAAATGAAAATTGAGGAGGAGAAAGAGAATCATCATCCTGTGAAATCTCGAAAATCTTTTCGTCGGAGCAGACAATTTACTGAAGAACCGAAACCTGTTATTGTGAAGGAGCTGGCTGAAAAAAATATTATGGACACGTTTGGTAAATTTGAAGATGTCTTCGATGACGAAAATGTGGTCTATAGACATGGGCATTTATATTCTCTGGGCAATCTCAAGCTTTGTTATTTAAATCTAGCCTTTAATCATATAAAATACTTTACTCTGAAGAAACTCTGCGAGGTTCTTAAGTATCAAAGCAATATGAAGAAAACTGATTGCAAGGGACTGTTGAGAGTGGTCGTAGATGGCAACAATATTCCAACACAGTGCGAGTTTCTCACCACTATAGAATCATATCTAGGAAATGCCATGGCGAAGTACGCTACACCAATAAGAAATCGAAGTCATGTAAATATTAGCAAGCAATGTCTCCGAAAGTAGGTACCATTATAAGTTTTTACAAAAAGTATTGCGAATATTATATGACTAAAAAAATAGCATAAATTCTTATTTGTTGGGGATAGAAGGATATATAATTTAATTTTAATAATATTTTATTTAAGATAACTCCTGTTAAGAAACGAAGTTTGTACAAAGGTTTAAAGGTTACTTATCGAATTTGTAGTTTTGTGAAGAGAAAAATGTTTATTTTTCATCAATTTAGTTGAATAATTAATACAATAAGTACATACATACAATGTCATCTTTAAACAGATATGCAAAATATTTCTTGGTTGTTAGAAAACCGTATAATATTTAATAAATCTTTTAATACACTTTTTATAAGCCACAATAGTAAAATCCCAAAGAAAAAATCTATTGTAAGTGATGATAATGGTTTTCATGGGTAAACTTATTGTAATTATCCCATAATATTATTATGAGAGAGCAATATCTCTTTAATTAGTGTGAAGCATTTTTTTCTTAGTTTTAAGTTAAGTATACCATTTTAGTTTACAAGTTATAGTTTAAGTTCCTCACAAGTAATATAATTTTGTTTGTACATCAGTTTCTTTTGAAATAATTTCATATTAAGTAAATTTTTCTAATACTCACTATAAGAAACGGATTATATTATGTTGGCTTTAAGATTTATATGTAGTTAGAACTATAAGTAAAGCGTAATTAATGTTTATGTTAGCAAGAAATAAGGAAAAATATAAAGCTATTTTTATTTAAAACTTTAAACAATTGTTATTTTTATCGATAAGATTATTTTAAAATAATTATTTTCATCTCAATTTTTGGTTTTATTTCTTATAAGTATTATTTAAAAGCCTAACGGTTTTTTAACTACAACGGCTCACCATCTATAGATACGTAATTACCTACATATTTTTTTGGTACAAGACTAAAAATATTTATTTTTTGGGTTATGATATTAAAATAGATTAGAAAAAATTATCACTTCTAAAAAGGATGAGTAATTTGAAACTTTTAAAAACAAAACAACTTTACGAGTACGTACACATAGAATGTTCTTCTTCCTGGCAATTTTCCAGCTTTAGTCAGGTTCTGCCTTACATTTTGTAAACAGTTTTGGCTAACTGTTTTTAATTAATGCTCAAACCTTTTCCATGTTAGAAAGAGGGCTTTTCTCAGCTGTGGGCTCTTATGAATGATGAAGGATTAAAAAAAAACTGAAAATGTTTTTACACCGGCAGAGCAGACGGCCTACCTGATTGAGGTAATTACCGTCGCCCATAGACACCCATAGTTATGAGGATGACCCTTGATTATGGAAGAGGGATAGGAGAGGGTGGGAAAAGGGAAAGCGTAAAAAGAGGGAAAGGGTGGGAAAAGAGTAAGAGCAAGCGGATCTCTCACTCATCGAACGAAACGCAGCCATGAAAGACTACTTCATGCTGATATTCTGTTCGAGGATGGTACTTCCCCGGTCGAGACAGCCCAAGTTTGAGCTGCAGTAACTTGACCATAGCTGTACATAGACTATATTTATGAATGAAATATTATTTACTTAAATGTACTTAATAAAATTGTTGCTACATTTAGTGTTGTATAATTGTATTAAAAATGTTAATATTAATTTATGACAAAATAATATTCACATATTAAGAAGTAAAACATGTTAGTTCTTTTTTATGAAGTGCTTTTTGATCCTCTCAAAGATGACATCAAATATATCAGTTTACTGAAGCCCTTTTTTGCAAACGAAACCTTTGCTTTCCATTTTAAATATGTTTTATCCAAAGGCAGTTGACAATAATACCTTGGGCTAGGATTCACGTATTTATGGTTGGACAAACTCAGTCTTTTTATCACTCTTCGTCATTTTATAACTGGAAAACATTCACCATGACGCCATCTACCGGTGACGCTGTCAGTCAATAGGGCTAACAGCTACAATCATGTCGAAACTAAAAGCTGAATAAACTGCGAGAATTTGATAAATATGAATTCCAAAAATTACAAAAATCATTTTCAAAATGGAGACAACAGCTTTATAAATATTCATATACGATTCAAGGCTTTCACTCTTAGTTTAAAAGATCGCTTGTAGCTAACCATCCCAAAAAGTTAAACAATACATTTTATTTATGACATAAAATCAGATAAGACTTCACATAAGAAGTGAACTTAGTGAGATTTTTTGGTTTTACTTACTCCCCCGACTTACATAAAATTTGAGTATTTGATACGTTGCTATAAATGTATGAACTGAAAAAGGATTATTAACAATTGTTTAAAACTAACGTGTTGAGAAATTCACAATGAAATAAGAATGTTTTATGTATAAGATGGCTTAATGGAAGTAACATAGGGTAAAATCATATGAAATCATATCTTATTAATACAAAAGTCATTTTTTTTTTACATAATCATTCCTGAATCCTTTGAAAAAAAAAATACCTGAAATGAGGGTTAAAAAATTTGCTAATTTGCTTTTATTCGGCGCAGGGTGAATAGGACTTTGTATAGTTTGAATTATCACAACGAAAGTCATATATTGTCTGCAATAATGCGCATACATTGTGTTGTAGTTTGATGTATTATATAAAAATATTTTAATTCACTTAGGCTGTGCAATTGTGGACCATCGCAACTTTCTTACCAACCTGCTTTGATCACATTTTTCTAACGTCATTTTTTTTAGAATAAACATTGATGATGTGTTTCTTGTGTATTTTAATTTAGATACATTTATTATTGCATTTTTGTTAGCTTTTTTTTTTGACGATATATATTTTTATAAAACATGAAATCTGCGAGAAGTGTTCGTTCCTTAAGGTCCATACGGTCGACCAAGTCTATGGTGGAGGAAAGGAGAGCTGAAGAGTTTACAGACAACTTTGATAGCTTGTTAGTTCTGGCGTGCTCTAAATTCAATTGTCCCTATACGGTTACTGTAAAGAAAGAAACCAAACAGGGTGAGTGCAGATAAATCAGTATTAACCATATAAACAATAAGTTATTTATTTATTTTTGTTTAGCAAACGTGAACAGTAGGAATGAAGCCATAGAATAAAAAAACAAATGTGAAAATTTAATTACTTTTGTTTTATTTTTTGTCATTTTTTTTTTTATTTATTTTTAGATGATTACTACAAAAACTTAAAAAATGTTGAAGCTAAGGGCCGGTACAAGCCAAGGCCAAGTTTCGTTCTGCAACAAGATGATACTTCCAAGGCTTCAATTACTAACTCAAATAATACTTCTAATATAAGTGAAGTCTCTTCTTTTCATTTAAACACACTAACAGTTACTGTACTATATGACACTTTTAACACATTGACAGAGATACTTATTACAAATAGAAGAGACGTTCCAATGGTGTTGATGAAAGTGATCCGTATTCTGGTGCCATTCTACAAGAATTTAACAAAGATAACTATAAGTAATTGTAAAATAGATATGTACGTAATATATGAGTTAAGTAAAATACTTCAGATATCCACAATAGACAGCATATGTCTCGATGGTTCGGCGATGCCATTAGGAGACTTTACTATGCTTTTGAAAACTTCAAATCTTACAAATCTGTCTCTCTGCCGGTGCAAAATTAATGACACCGCATGCGAACTCATTGCCTCTATGTTACATTGTTCGGCTCCAGCGGATAATTTGTTGCTTTTAAATCTATCTTCAAATCAGATAACAGATGTCGGTGTCAAATACATCGCTGATGCTTTGAGAAACAATATACGTCTGAGGTATTTAAATTTGGCCGACAATCGCATAGAAGACGAAGGCGCCGGTTATATTTTTGACGTATTAATGGAATTTCCTTTACTATACGATGAAATAATGAAAATGAAAACGAACAGACTTAAATACTTGAAATTGAAAAATGCTTTATATATTAAATATTTGTCAGAATATTGTAACAAATCGATGGATGATGACAGTGACACTCACTCGACATCTAAGAAGAAAAAACCCAAAAATACGGCAAAGAGAGACAAAAATAAAGGACAAGGTTGGACAAACGAAGAAAGTGTGAAAATAAGAGCAGAAATGATGACGGCAGAAATATTAGGACCCTACACAGCTCCATTTAGTCCTGACATGATCAATTATAAAAATCAATATTATTATTGTCTTGGCAATGATACACTCCAATATTTGAATCTGGCGTACAATAATTTGTCATATTTAAGTTTGAAAAAATTAAACCAAGTGCTAACGTATCAGAAAACACTTAGATCAGGAAATAGGGGACTCACGAAAGTTGTTATGGATGGTAATAATTTACCCATATCTTGTTCCGAAATGGACAGCATAAATCACATTTTGGGTGGAAAAATAATGCGTTATAGTGGCAGGCTTTCTGAAGTTGGTCGTCGCAAAGGCAAAGGATCCTTAAGAATGGAGAAGTAAATAAAAAAAGTTTTGCTTGCATATATTTTTAATTAGACTTTGTTTTATTTACAAGAAAGTTCTATACAAATTAAAACAATTGTTTTATTTTATCGCATGATTATATAACTATAGATTTTTGTACTTTATGAACACTTGTTCTGGTAACTTTAGGTATAAAAATACATAAACAAAATAAAACGTAGGATTTTTTACATAAAATTTATTCTTAAAAACTAGACTACAAGCTAGACTATTTATACATAATTGTTAAGCACCAAAATCTCTTTTGTCAACGATTTGTTCGATGAACGGTCGGCTATCGAGCAAGATCTAAATTAAAGGTCTTTTTACAAAGACATTTAATTTCTTGGCGGTAGGTATTCTCTGTTCGGTTGTGGAGACGGATAATTTCCATCACCGGAGGGTTGGGGTCTTGTAGTTCCTGTGGGGAAACTAGGACCAGATGGTTTGTCTGATGGATATCCTTGATTACTTCCTGGCCTCGAACCTGGATAAACAGGTCCGGAGCTTGGTGTTGTGTAGCTGCCTGGATATCCAGAGGGACCTTGTGGGGTAGATCCACCTGGGTAGAAGCCTGGTTGCTGCGAGCCTGGGTAAGAACTTGGGCCTTGGGGACTCACACTACCCGGAAAACCTGTTGAAGAACCTTGATTAGGGCCACTTGGAAATCCTGTTGACTGTCCTGTGCTTCCGGGATAAATTGTCGAAGGTCCACCATTTGATGGATAAGATGGTCCTTGTGGGCCTAATGTGCTTGGAAAACTTCCAGGCTGTTGTGGCCCTTGAGGGTAACCACCTGGTTGTTGAGGTCTTTGAGGAAAGCCACCTGATGGCTGGGGTCCTTGAGGATATGAACCGGGTCCTTGAGGAAATCCATTAGGTTGCTGGGGTCCTTGTGGGAAGCCAGGCAGTTGAGAACCGATAATTGAATAATCATATAAGTTTGCGTTAAGTTCAAAGAAGCTTGGAGCTGAATTGCAGTCAAATTGATTCCACCAAACACAAACAAAGTATTCTTGTGAGAAAATGGTACCATTCGGGCATAGGAAGTCATAGGTAATATTATTTGAGCATACATGGAAAACTTGACAGCGAGTTTCTATGTCAGCATAATAACCAGGGTAGGGCTGAGCATCGCATCTGAAAGATGTTTCTGGGATAGTTGATAGTATGGGGTAGTCCTTGTCCGGTTCTCCAGGAATAGCAGAATAGTCACCATTATCATAGGCACCAGAGTTATCAAAACCAGGACCTACTGGTCCAAATCCAGGTGTTTGTCCTTGTCCAGGATAGTTACTGCCTTGACCAGGGTAGTTGCTTCCTTGTCCAGGGTAGTTGCTTCCTTGTCCAGGGTAGTTGCTTCCTTGTCCAGGGTAGTTGCTGCCTTGACCAGGGTAGTTGCTACCTTGTCCAGGGATGTTGCTGCCTTGACCAGGGTAGTTGCTGCCTTGACCAGGGTAGTTGCTGCCTTGACCAGGGTAGTTGCTACCTTGTCCAGGGATGTTGCTGCCTTGACCAGGTAAGTTTCCACCCTGTCCAGGGTAGTTACCACCTTGCCCGGGGTAATTACCACCTTGACCTGGATAGCTACCACCTTGTCCTGGGTAGTTACCGCTTTGGTCGGGATATTTCCCACCTTGGCCGGGATAATTTCCTCCCGGACCAGCTATAGGGCCGGTAGGACCGCCCGTCGTTTGCCCAGGATAGCCAGTCTGAGGCCGATTAAAACCTGGGTAATTCGGAGTAGTCCCTAAGCCTCCAGGTGTATACTCTCCATTTTGCGAAGTTGTTGGGTAAGATGAACCGGGATAACCAGCTGTCTGCCCAGGCTTGAAGCCAGGTCTGCTAGATGGTGTGGTTGACCCAAACGGCCTGCTTGGTTTATTGTACTCATAGCCACTTTGAGCAATCGCTAGAGCCAGTAACACTGTAACAATTTTATTATTATTACTCTATAAGCTTAATAAATTCTTTGTGATTCAAAATATTTAATTTAATACTAGTTTTTGCCGCGCGACATTGTCCGCTTTAGTTTTATAATTAGAAAAGTATAGCTGACCAAGTGAACGGGTTCGATTTAGAGGCAGTAAAGAAATAGATTTTGGATTTTATTAGCAAAATTTTTTTGTAGTCGAACGAATTCAAAAGTATCCTATGTTCGTCTGCTAATTCCAACCTACCTCCCCACACATTTCCAGCCAAATCCGTACAGACGTTCTTGAGTTATAAATAGTGTAACTAACACGACTTTCTTTTATATATAAAGAAAGATGATAATTATCGTTTCTTGTATAATATAAGTAAATACTTAAACATTAAGGTCACTTCAAATACCTCAAGGTTCCTGTAAGTGACTAAGAATTCTGTAAATGTTTTGTCAATTGCGAAATGTGGCAATTTTACTTGAAATTTATTAATGGTACGCCTAGTTGTCTCCTAGTAACAATGGTTGTATGACGTCGCGTGGGACCAAGAGACGTAAATGACAGACGTTTTTCGAAGCGAGGATTTAATAAATATCTTATAATTCATTAGCTTGATAAATGGCTTAATAAAAAGCCAATAATTCAAGTGTAAATTTTCTCAGATGAACTTAGGAGTTAGGTGTATTGCGGTTTTGTGCTGTTTTAATAAATTTTCGAATACTAACTGTCATATTAGAAGGGATTTTATGTTTATTTATAATAAATCTATCAAAACTTTTATGACTGAAGGTGATTTTAGTTCATGTTCTTTGAAATTATGAAATCTTAGTCGTATGTTTATTGTATAGAATGTGAATTTTTTTGTTTATTCGCCTTTGTAAATGAATTTAAGTTGTAATTGATTGAATAGTTGTATGAAAATATTTCATTTTAAGATTTTATTTAACCTCGACTCTTTGAGTGTTTCAGAAACTGTATTCAATGAAGTATCTATAATAAATCGAAATTAATATAATTATAAGTAAGTGTAAATTTATATTGATTCTGGATCTAAGAAGGAAGTGTCCTAAGTTTCTCACGTCGTTTAACACATTCGTGCTCTGGGCTCACGGTAAAGAACAATGGAAGGGAATAAAGGAAATGGTTGCGTGCTCCATTTTGTCAATAAATTCAATAGACTTTATTGCGTTGTTACACAGATTATATCTTTCATAGATATTCACTTGAGATAGTTTTTTATATTTCATATAATTTAGTTTTTTTATATGTGTAAACACTAAAAGCACATAGTTATTACAAATCTAAAAGCGAGAGTTAAAAACAGAAGAAAAAGATTTCAATAGGAGCGGTTATACAGGGTGACTGGTGAATTACTATCAATATTTAAGGAGCATACTCGGTACATGATTCTCATTCGAATTATGTAAAAAAAATAGGTACTTAATTTTTGACCAAATTTCCGTATAAATAAATAAAGTGTGTACACGTTCCAAGTGTTCCATGTGTGGACGCGTGCGGCGGCGTGCTGATACAACAACACGCCGCCGCGCGCATATGTGTGAGTGCGTGTGTATACCTAATCTGTAGGGTGTTCATACGATGCGTAATTAATTACATAACTTTTGGTTAACTTTACTTAGACGTTTATTAATATTTATGTTATATTAATTTTTATTTTGTCATATATGATCGTCAAATATCACGTCCTCAAATATCGATAGTAATTCACCAGTCACCCTGTATATAAAGATTTGTGAGAATTTAAATAACAAGTATATTAAAGATAAACTAAATGATTAAGATTTAGCATATAAATAACATTTGCTAAGTATTTCAAAATTCACTAAGTACAATAATAAGTTCTACGACATTTAAGTGATAATACTGAGAACGAAGCTAAAATTATAGGTTCCAATATATAATTATATACAGAAACTTAAATATGTTAGAAAATGCAATGTAAAGCTTTTGTTAATATTTACGGCTTATTTTATATAGAATTGTTTATTTCAGGAATGTATACTTTTCAAAAGTCATCTTTCATAGTATTGCGAAATTTTAAGTTCTTTTTTTAAACGAGACTTATTTATCTGTGGTTTATCCTTCAAAAATCATTTGACATAACTTTTAACCTGTCATATTTTTTTTTAAATAAATAATGCGCAAGTTTTAAGCCTATGTAATTATCTATCCGAGTAATGTTATTTCCTTTTTAGGTTATTTCGCATAAGTCAGTTCTTGACAGCCATTCATCCGGGCGCTTGCAAACAACTTGTTGGTACGCGTATTATCAAAAACCGTGAATGCCGCCGTTTCACAAAGTGAACATCATTTGCTCTGGACAAAGATCTCAACTTGCATACACAGATCACATTGATGTATTGAGTCCAGTGAAGCAACTGAGTTCTGTTGAAAGCTTTTCCGAACGTATATGTACTTTATAATTATGTTTTTAGCGCGTTTTTTCGTAGATACTTTTTTTGTCTCTCGATATAACTTTTTTGACAGTAAATGACGAGTGTGTTACAAAAAAGAGATTGGTAGTCTGTGCACTTGTGAATAGTACGAATGTTTTAAATTTTATGATTATTATGTATAATTGGAAAAATAGCTTTATCTTTTAAAGGGTTTTATTTTTAAAGAATTAAATGTAAGTATAAAATTTATAATTTTTAAAGCGATTAATATATTGGCCAACTTTTACGAACGTTTTTTTTAAATTGATTTAATTTATACTTTTTCTAGCATTATCTTCTAAATATTTGAAATCTATGAAGCCTTATTGAGTGAGAATTAAATTTATATCTTATTGAACTGTAATAAAACTTATTTTTTTTACGTCGACGGATAATAAAAAACAGAAACCTTTTCAGTTAGCTGTATAAAAAGCCGATTATTTTTATGAATATTATTTTTTCATTTACTATTTTTATAATCATGAAAATTCCAAGTTAATTTTAAAAACTCCGTTATATACCTACTCTATCTATTAAAAACTTGTTAGATAACTTACGCAATCGTTTTATATAAAGAAACTTATATTAAATTTGACGCATTTCAATAAATAAGGTATATAATATAAGATATATATATGTTTTGCTATCATAGGATCCGGTTATTGGAAATCTTTTTAACTTTTATTTAAAAGAAAAACCTTTTTATGTGGTCGAAAACAGAACAATGGATTCACAACATTAATATGGAATAACATTTAACTTGTACCATTTGGTAACTTTTGACTGCGCAATGCCATTAAAATGTCGTTTTATTTATGTAATTTCGTAAAAAAATTATTTATATATTTTTTTCTATCATTTAATAAATGTAACAGTTCCTCTATTTACATTTAACACATAAAGTATTTTAAAAATTTCATTTATGAATACTGTACGAATGAAATAATTGATTGAAATATATTGAAAGTTTTTATAAGAAATAAAAACTCGTGCTGTACTCTTTGTTCGAGTTTACGTGAAAAATACAAAGCTTTTCCAGTTTTCCACTCATAAGTCTTCCCTTATGGCAGTTTTGAAGTACTTTTATGAATTAAAAATTAGCAACTATATATATTTAGTTTGACGATGCAAAATTCTTAGTAAATGTATTAAAGCGAAGATTATTTTCGTGTAATACTCACTACAAAACGTCGACAAACGTAGCATGGTGGTGCTTAAAACTTCTCCTATCTGAAACAAAAAATATTACATTCCTAATAATTGAGTGTATGTATATTTCAAAAGTGTCTATTTGAAACAAAGCATAATAGACATTTTTTGCATCATTCATTCATAGGAAAATTTTACTAATAAGACAAAAAACAGTTCAATGAAAATTATCGGTGCGTTTAATTAAGATTTCGTACCTGCTATATGAAAAACATATGGGCCTTGTATTACTTTGTTTGGTCCGACAACTAAAGTCGTTAAGTACGTGTGAATTGCTTTTGTGGTGTTTTCATAAATATGATCGTAACTGAGTTTGTGCGCCGAAATAGTAATTATTGGTAACTTCTAGTTTGGCAAAAACGGAGAAAATTTGTGACTTTGTAGCATGTTGCCAGTATTAATACATTTGGAATATATTTTTTAATTGTGCTATGGTTTTATTCGTATAAAATTTATGGAATATTTTTCAAATATTTTTTATCAAATATTTTTATAGTATAAATATTTATATAACTGACACAGTTACGTAAATTATATGTCAATGTTCAAGAACGTATGTTTTGATGTCAGAAGCAAAAAATATGACATGACGCCTGGGCGGGCGGCACAATGTAAATAAAGAATATTTTTTAAACAATACTTATATGCAATACATACATATATATGTTATATTATATTAATATTTTCTGTATTATTAAAATAAATTAAATTATAAAAAAATCACAATACACCATCACTAAGTCGTAAACACTAATTTTTTGTACATTGCAACACAACTCACCGTGTATGCACTGCTATCGAAGGCACACTGTACCAAGCTAGCGTGTGTCTTGCTTTTATGTTCAAATCCACCACCACTTCGAGGGATGTAACCGCTCAAATATATACGATAACAAAAATAACCGGGTCAAAACTGTACGTGGTTTATGGATGTAGCGATTATCACGATGCAGGCGCATCATTGAAATATGACAAATTACATGGTGACGATTATCTTGTTTGAATAATAGTCATTTTCTCGTATCAATGGCTGTGTCATCATCGGATTGTGAGGTGCTAATAGAATTGTTTTAGAAGTGAACGTGCTATCCTTAAATGTATACAGAAATATTTTACGTAATATATTATTATTATTTATTTATTTTCATACTTGTTGAAAGTACAGTCTTGAACAGTTTTGTTTTTTTTTTAAATTATTGTTATCTCGATAGAAGTTTTTTTTTTACGGTTTTTGATTTAATTTTTTATATATCCTATTACAATAGTTATTAGTATATGGAAACGAACAATTTGTAAGCGTTGTTACCTTTTTTCTTATTTACATTTATTTAT